GTCTTTCCATCTCCTGTGCCTAGGGAGGAAGATGAGCCACCACTGAGCTGAGGCTTCATGCGTCCTTCATGTAGGATTAAAAAAATAAAAGCCATTTTGTTTTAATCTAGTGAAACTCAGAGGTTGTTCATTAGTGCAGCATAAACTGTATTTTTTTTTATTTGACAGGTAGAGATATAGACAGAGAGAGAGACAGAGAGAAAGGTCTTCCCTCTGCCGGTTCACTCCCCAAATGGCCGCCATGGCCAGCGCTGTACCGATCCGAAGCCAGGAGCCAGGTGCCTCCTCCTGGTCTCCATGCGAGTGCAGGAGCCCAAGCACCTGGCCATCCTCCACTGCCTTCCTGGGCCACAGCAGAGAGCTGGCCTGGAAGAGGAGCACCAGGACCAGATCCCAGAGCCCACATTGGATGCCGGCACCACAGGTGGAAGATTAACCAAGTGAGCCATGGTGCTGGCCCGCAGCATAAACTGTATTAACCTGAGTAATGCGCCACACAATCCAGGAAAAAAAAAACAAAACAAAAACTGTGAACAAAAAACCTATGGTTCCAGCAACAAAGGAGATATGGGCAAAAGTCTCTCCCAATTTGCCCTTTGCACATAAACCTTTAGTACCAGCCAATTATATTCCTAAAAACTTTTGTGGAGCAATTCCCATCAGCTACTTGCCTCTATGCAGGAAAATCTGTCAGTAAGCAAAGCCATCCTCCCATTCCTTAGTGACTTCATACCCTATCAAACTCACTGCCATGTCTGGTATTCAGATTCCACGCACAATAGCTCCACCGTGTGGTACTTAGAATAAATGACATTTATTATAGGACCAAAGAAGCATGATTACATAACCAATAACACCATACCTTGAGAGGAGGACTGTACGTGATAAAAATCACATCCAGCTTGCTAGAGTGTCAAGCCAAAAGCAAGAGAAAGAAACCTTTCTATCATGTGAACTAGAAAATTCAAGAGCAACGAGGCTCTCTGATTTATTTATACATTCAATTAATATTTACTGAGTTCCACTGTATATCAGACATTGTTTTAGACCTTGGGAATACAGCAGTGAACAAGAAAGACAAATTTCTATCTTAATTGAAAATATAGACAATGGGACAAATAAACAAAATGATATACATTAATATCAGGTGGTGGTAAGTGCTATAAAACACAATAGATGAGGACTGTGGCACACAGAGTGATGGAGGAGGGGTTATTTTAAACAGAATGGACAGAAGTAAAGGCAAAGAGCCCACACTGAACTCTCCCAAAATTCCTGTGGATAAATTTCCAAAATTCTCAAATACTCATAATCTAAAACATGAATACCCTCCTACAGACATGCAATGTGAAAACACCTCAAGATGCTCATATTGTGGTCTCTAAACTACTTTGCCCTGAGAAGAAATCAAGATGCCTTGGAGAAATGACTGATTCCAGGTGTGAGACATGAAGTGGACCAAGATCCTGGGATGAATTCTTACACTGGAAAATACAGAAGCAATCAAAGACCAACATCAGTTTGACACATGTCTGTAAGGTGTCTGGCGTGTAACAGATCTTCCCAGGCAGATGAATCAGTTAATTCACAGGCTTTTATTGGGGTTCCGCTTCCGGGCGAGGTTCCCGGGTCCCAACAGAGCAACAGAGCGGGGGCTGGGGAAGTCGCACGTCAGAGATTGGGAGAGCCCCTTTTATAGATTCAGGGCATGGGGGTTAAAGGTTGAGGCGGGTCTGATCCTCATTGGTTGACCTTTAGGCACCCGCAGGGACCTTGACAAGGACTTTTCTTCCCCGGAAGTAGGCCTCTCCATTCCCGGAAGTGTAGGTCTTCCCTCCTTGCGGATCCCAAAGCTACCAATGTCAAAGACCCTTGCTTATTGCTTCAGAATTAGTGTAGCCTCAGCTAATTTAGTTAAAAGCTCTTCAGATCGGGTACTAGGAACATCTTTAAATATGATAGTATTAGATGCAATACTGTTAAAATAGTTAATTAATTAGTTTGAGAGGCAGTGAGATAGAAAGCTCCCATTTGCTGATTCACTCTCCAAATGCCCAAGGGTTGTCGGCTGGTACTGAAGCAGGGAGCCTGGAATTTAATCCAGGTCTCTGCTGTGGGCAGCAGGAACTCAAACCCTTGAGTCATCAATACCTACTGTCTCCCAATCCCTTTCTGGATTACCAGGAAGTTGGAGTCAGGAAATGCAGTTCAATTCTTATTCTGAACTGAAAATACCCAATGTTTTTCTACCAATTAATTAATCACAACACTGTTATTTTTTCTTTATTAGTTTAAAAGAAACTCTATTACCCTTACCAGACATAAAAGAAATTCGTGATAATCATTTCTGTAGTTCAAGAAGTGCCTATACTTATAATAGATCCTTTTTCTTTTTTGAATATTTATTTTATTTGAAAAGCAGAGTTACAGAGAAAGACGGAGAGACAAGAGATCTTCCATCTGCTAGTTCACTTCTCAAATGGCTGTAGTGGCTAGGGCTGGGCCAGGCCAAAGTCAGGAGCCAGGAGCTTTCTCTGAGTCTCCCACGTGGGTGCAGGGGCTCAAGGACTTTGGGCCATCTCCTGCTGCTTCCCCAGGCACACTAGCAAGGAGCTGGATGGGAAGTGGTGCCCATAAGGGATGCCTGCCCTACAGACGGTGGCTTTACCTGCCACACCACAGCACTGGCCCCATAATAATAGGTCTTTTAAATACCCCAAACCAAAGTCAGACTTAATATAGTTTGCTGAAATGTTTTATATTAATAATGAATAGGGAAAACATAAGGCCAGCTTTGCAAGTTGCAGTTACAGAGTTCAACTTCCTCCCAGATTCCATATAACAAAATGTTCCCATTTTAAATTGTTTGATGAGTCACAACTGAATAAATCCATAAATCCATATAACCACTACTGCAATCGACACTTATACAATTTGTCACCTCCCCAAACCTCCTTCATATAGCCTTGTAGTCCATGTCCGACCCCTCAACCCACCCTCTGCCTCAACTACAGGCACTTTGCTTCCTGATAGTTTTAGATTTCTAGAATTACACAGAAATAGAATTATGGATTAAGTAAAGTAAGTGCTCTTATATCTAGCTTCCTTGTTACTTGTATATCCACTCATTGACTGAACATTTGGGTCTTCCAAGTGGGAGTTGTTAAGAAAAAAAAATTGCTAGTAGTATCCAAGAACAAGGCTTTATGTGAATGTTTTCACTTCTTTTGGGCAAATACTTCGGAACAGAACTGCTGAGTCTTCTGGTACGTTTATAACTTTATAACAAACTGCACAACCATCTCCAAATGGCTGTAGCATTTTGCATGCCTACCAGCAATGTATGAATTCCAGTTGTTCAATATCTTCATCAACAGTTGCTATTGGCAGTTCTCAGTGTTATTTAAACCATCCTAGTGGTCCTGTATCTTGTTGTTTTTGTTTTCCTAATGACTAATGGTGTTGATTGTCCTTGGTAATTCAAATGCTAAATAAAAATCTATTCAAATCTTCTGCCCGGTTGAGCTATTTGACTTCTCACTATTGAGCTGTAAGAATTATTTATATGTTCTGGATATAAGTGCTTTGCAGATACACGAATTGCCAATATTTTCTCCCAATATATAAACTGTCTTTCAATTCTCACACTGGTTTCTATGAAAGGGCAGTTTTAATAAATGCCAGTTTACAAGTTATTTCTTTCAAAGTTCACACTGTTAACATCCTAAAAAATCTTTTACTATCCCAAGCTAGCAAAGACTTTCTCTTTTAAGAATTTCTAGGTTTCACTTTTGGGTAAGTCTATGTCCCAATTCACAATCTAAATTTGTATTGAAATTGTGCATGGTGTAAACAGTTGAGGTGCACTTCCCAGATTAATGAAGTTAATCCATTTGTTCAAAAGACTATCTTCCTCATCGCATTACTTTGGGACCTTTGTTAAAAATATTGTCTACATATGCACAGGCCCATTTTTAAACTCTATACTGTCCATCAGTTAAAAAGCATGTCCTTTGGTAACAAATTCTCATTTATTCCCTGTTTGAAAAAGTTTTTTCCATCTTCACACCTGAAGGGTATTTTCTATGGAATATAGAATTCTAGGTCAACAGGTCATTTTTTTTTTTTTAATCTTTCAACACTCTAAAAATGCCATTCTATAGATTAAGAAAGAAAAAAAAGGTCATCCATAGCTTGGTTCCTGTATACAGAATGTCTTTTTCTTTTTCTCCAGTTGCTTTTACATCTTGCTCCGGTTTTCAACAGTTCCATTATGATGTACCTTGATGAGATTTTGAAAAAATTTATCACTTTGCTTGTTGGATTACTTGCATTTGTGGGTTTATAGTTTTCATCAATCAGGAAAAATTTCAGCCATTATTTCTTAACATATTGTTTTTGTCCCAACCCCAACTTCCAGGACTCCAAATAAAAGTATCTTAGAATAGTTGTGGTGTCAAGCATTGCTATATTTTTTTCCCTCTGTGCTTAAGTTTAAGTTCACTGATCTTTAGTTCTGCAGAGACCAGTCTGCTATAACTGTCCACTCCTTCTCACCTGGGTAGAAACCAAAGAGGATCAAACAGCAGTAGTGAAATAAATCTTACATTAATGTTACAGATGCATTGAATACAAATAAAATAATTAAATATTGGTAACTCAGAAATGTGTAAGAGCTGGCATTGTGGTGTAGCAGTTAAGCTGCCACCTGCAATGCCAGCATCCGCTACGGGCGCCAGTTTGTGTCTCAGCTGCCCCATTTCCAATCCAGCTCCGTGCTAATGCACCTGGGAAAGCAGTGAAAGATGGCCCAAGTTCTTCGGCCTCTGCACCCAAGTGGGAGGCCTGGATAAAGCTCCTGGCTTTAGCCTGGATCAGCCCTGGCTGTTGTGGTCATTTGGGGAGTGAATCAGAGGATGGAAGATCTCTTTGTCTCTCTCTTTCTCTAACTCTGCCTTTCAAATAAATAAATAAATCATTTTTTTGAAGAAACGTGCAAGTAGCTTTTAAAATATCATCTTTATTATGACTATAAAAGTACAGATTGTGTGTGTTGTGTACATAATACTAGAAATGATATTAAAAATGACACCAACAATGTGTTGTTACTGTTTCTTTTACTTTGATCTCTTTTAAAGAAGGTAGTAACAGTATGTGGAAAATGCTTTACTGTATCATATCAATATACTGCAAGAAAGTATTTCACAATAATATAAAAGTAACCCACAGACTTAATTAAGTGAAGATCAAATGACCCAAATACTTTTCTTTCTCAGTTTTTCACAGCAATTGCTCAAAGTCCATTAGCTGGTTTTTCCAAGAAAGATTATTCCAATAATTTTGGGTGTTCAATCCGTGCAATGGTCCAGTTGGGCTTTACTCCTTGTGTAAATTCTCTCTGAAATCTAGGAGAAATATTATAAAGAAAACTTTACATCAGCCCAAATACTTCTTGATAACTATATAATTTGTAAGGTTAAAAGCAGCTTTTAGCAACAAACTAATGGTTAATGGCATATCAAAACAAAATAAAGTTTAACCAACCAATTCAATCACAAAAAATGTATCCACGAAATTGAAGTGCATTTTTAACTTAAATGAGTATTTTAATAAACTGATCTACATTCGATGTCTTCAAGCTTCTGGGAGAAACTTGAACATTATTTTGTTATTAAATACTGGGAATAGGGGCCGGTACTGTGGCATTGTGGCTAAATCTGCCGCCTGCGGTGCTGGCATCCTATTTGGGCACCGGTTTGATTCCTGGCTGCTCCACTTCCGAACCAGCTCTCTGCTATGGCCTGGGAAAGCAGTAGAAGATGGGTGAAGTCCCTGGGCCCCTGCACCAACGTGGGGGACCCAGAAGAAGCCTCTGTCTCCTGGCTTCGGATCAACGCAGCTCTGGCCATTGCAGCCAGTTGCGGAATGAACCAGTGGATGGAAGACCTCTCTCTTTGTCTCTCTCTCTCTCGGCCTCTCCTTCTCTCTCTGTGTAACTCTTTCAAATAAATAAATACATCTTTAAAATAAATAAATAAATAAATACTGGGAATAACACATGCTTTATATGAGGAACAGTAAGTTGGACTATTGATGTAAACAGAACTTCAAATATATAATTTATAGAAGATACTGTTTTTCAAATAATACCAACTTAAGACTAAATAGTGGAATTTGATTTATATATACTTATTAATCTTGAAAAAATGTTTACGAGCTATCTATGGTCTTACTGGAAGATCAGAAGAGACTTAGTATTACTGATAGTATTCATTAATTATGAACAAAGTACTAAAAAAAGAGAATTCAGGAATTTAAATTAAGTAAGTATTTATACAGACTATTTTGAGTAATTACAAATGAGGCAAAATTTTAAAAACACCCATACTTCTTTCAAGAAAACTGAAAAAAAAATGAAGACATAATTCCCTTTTACTTTAGTGAGAATATATTTTCTTTTTTAGGTTATAAGGTTTTTTTCTTATAACCTAAGAAAGAAAATGGAATTTATTATTTTATAGAAAATCTATATAACCGGCATCATAACAATGGTATTGTCTTTTAAATAAATATTAATTACTTATCCACTGACTTTTCCAGTTGTTCACTTTTCCAAACTTTAATAGCACAAAAAATACAGCACAATGTCTTTTCTAAATAACCTGCTAACCTTCTACTAGACAGCATCTCCTCAAAGGCCATGTCCCTTCAGTTTTGTAACTGAACCTCGACTGGTATAAGGGAAATGTGTCTAAAGAATGAATGATCTACACGGTCATCACAGTAGACTGTAGTTTCCAAAGAAGGCCACGACCACATCTCCCATCCCAGGTGCTCTTAGGCAATGTGGCCTTGCCATATGTTGACCCAGAAGGTGGTGGAACCTCTCCACAGACTTTAAACTGTACAAGGCCTGTGACTACTTTGACCAATAGATCCCAGCAGAAATGAGGTTACTCTCATTCTGGGCAAAGCCCTTTACTGGTCTAGGAGCTTTCATTTTCTGCTTGTTGGAATCCAACCATGTAAAAGATGCGACTAGTCTGAAACCACCAGGAGCCAAGCCAGAGAAACCCTGGAGAATGAGAGGTTGTGCAGAACCCTGTGGGCACCAAGGTGCCACACAGGAACGCACCATCACGGAAATGAATCCTCCAGCTGATACCAGGTGGAGCAAAGCAAACCGCACAGCAGAGCCTTTCCAAAGCCCCTGAGCACTGCAACAGCAGGAAACACAATGGGTGTTTGAAGCCTCTGAGTTTTGGGGTAGCCTGTGATGGACAGCTGACAAACCATTTAAACTCAGCAATATTACCTCTTTCTAACTTCCCAATACTCCTGTTCATTTCCACTGTGTCTTTATGACCTTTTCTCTTTACAAATAATGTGTGCAGTTTCAATTCTTTTCTTCCTAAAGCTCCCTTTAATGATGAGCTCACACTATCTTCCATTTTCTAGACAGAGGAAGTAAGGAAGTATAATTACACTTACTCATAGCTTGCACTAAGAAGTTGTTTAGTTTCCACATTCTGATCCCCCAACTTAACTTGGAATACACTGGCTCCACGTATAGTTTCATTGGGGACGTTGGCACTGGTTAGATACCAAAAGCACATCAGGATGTTAACAAACTTCCTTCCTTAGAGAAAAAACACACAGACACATGTACAAAGACAAATCATATTAGTCTATCATTCATATATACAAAATGAAATTGGTAATTGGTAGTGGCTATACAGTTATTACAGATAAAATTCTGTACTTATTCTGGTGTAACTTAAGATATCTGTAAATTTTTTACTTTTAGAAAATTCTCTTAGGGTTTATGGCATCAGTAATAAAGTTACTATTTACTAAGTACAGACTTTAACAAATTTTAATTTGTGGCATTTTCTAAAGTTACAATAATATAACTGGTATCTATTGTCAAACCAAAAATGAGGAGGAAAAAAAATCTATTTTTTGCTGCTAAGTAATTAACTTAATCCAAGGGCCAGAAGGAAGAACTGCTCCTATTCTATTCTAATTCTTTTTGCTATGCCTGGTGATTCTGATGCTATCCTGTGAAAAAATCAGTTTGTGTGACCATGGTGTGGTCATGCAAATAAACATATTAGAGGAGGGGGCAGGAGGTTGGCCCACCAGGTAAGATGCCGCTTAGGAAGGCTGTCTGCGCCCTCTAATGGAAGGCCTTGGTTGAGTCCCAGCACTGGCTCCTGATATCCTGATATCAGTTGACTGCTAATCTAGACTCTGATGGCTGAGGTCCTCAGGTTCCTGCCACCCCTGTGGGGGACCTGGACTCAGTTCCTGGCTCCCAGCTTCAGCCTGGGCCAGTCGTAGATGCCATGGGCATTTTGGGAATGAACCTGTAGGTGGGGGCTTTCTAACTGTCTCTTTCTTTCTGTCTCTCTGCTTATCAAGTAAAAATAAATAAATGAAACATTAGAGGAAAAGAAACTATTTATTACTAAAAATATCTTTACAAATATTTCAAACTGATGTGTATAAATAATTTTTGGGGAGGATTTAAAAGCAGAAGTTTGATTTCTCCTGTATCTGGCACAGAAAACATTTGCAAATATGTGTAGAAGGAACAAGTCAAGGAATTTTTAGGAATGCTATAGGGAAATGTATGCACTGGACAACAGAACCAATTCCTTCCAACTTTTTTCATTATCTCCAAATAAGTTCAGCTTGGGAGTTCTGCAATTAGTCTAATTTTCATACCACTCTCTAGCTGATATAATCTTATTTCCTTTTACTCCCACTCTTTCCATCTAACAGGTAGCTGGTAATTTAAAATGCTCAATTGTTTCTTTCAAGTTAGAAAATATGAAACATTAACATTTTCAGTTTAAGACATAGGAACAACTAGTCCTAAACAGACTATATTATTATCATTTTTAAGTAATGATGTTCTCTCTTGTGAATTACATAGTAGTAGGAAAAAGTTCTCGATATCGAGGTATTAGAGGAATGGGAGTTTGACAAGCCATTACTGCATTCCTTATTGGAGTTCCTGGGTTTGAATCCCAACTCTGCTTCTGCTTCTAACTTTCTGCCAGTGTTGCCCCTGGGAGGCAGTGGATGATGGCTCAAGTACTTGGGTCCTTGCTACCCAATCAGGAAATCCAGACCAGTTCTGGGTTCCTGGTTGTAGCCTGGCCCAACTCCTGCTGTTGTAGCAATTTGGAGAGTAAACCAGTAGATGGGAGATTTTTCTCTCTCTGCCTTTCAAATAATAAATTAATTTGAAACTTAAAAAAATTTTTTTAAACAGGGAGGCATAAAAAACTATTTCCATATCTTAACTCTTTTGGACTTAGGTCTTTAAAGAATTACTATATAATTTATTCTAAATTCTCTAAGTATCAACTATATACTTGTAAGTACATACTTAGAGAACCTAACTATTTTGTGACTATCCTCTACTTTAGCTACACCAGCTAACTGTGGATCTTTTACAGAATGCTCCAGCATTACCTTTCTCATCATAGTAAATGGAGATGTCTCCTGTTGATGTATATACAATTTCATCTATGTCAGCAGCAAGGGCACTTTTATGGTTATCAGGTAGAGAAGTAACCTTTTCTTTCAATACATGTAGCACCTATATTTGGAAAAAGCAACCCATTAGTTCACCAATTCAATTCTTAAAATCTTTTCTAAAAGTGATCTTTATCATGAAATAAATTTTTCTAAGTATTTTAAAATTTACTACTGAATTTATTCATCGTCAGAAGCAAGGCTGACAGGCATCTAATCATTCAACTAGATGACTCCTAACAGAACATTCTATGTAAGAGGAACAGAAAAACATCACTTTTACTTACTTATATGCTAAGCAGCAGGAGTCATTTCACGGTTTTGTATGAACCAAGTTACCCATTGGACAGATACACTAAACAGACTACTTTGGCTGCTGGCACACAATTTTTAAGCACAAATATGGAAAATGCTTATTATTCTACTGCAAGAGTAATGCCTTTATTTTTAAAGGAAAATTAAAGTAATACTTTACCTCTTTGGCCACAAGTTCTTCCAAAAGATCAAATTTACACTGTGACAGCAACTTGGATACATAAGCAAAAGCCTTGAAAAAAAATAGTGGGAGGATGGTGGCAATTATTATTTCAAAATACCACAGGATACTCATACTTAAATGGTCAGGTTTCTCAGACTATTTTGTAGTATAGATGATAAACATCAAGTACTAGTATACCAATGTCAGGCATTCTTTCAAAATTGGCTAACTTTCCTTTTATGGCCTTCCCACATAGTAATAATTGAGCTGACTGCTAATTATTTATCTACTCTTAGAACCTGGGGAAGGGCTGGTGCTGTGGAATAGTGGGTAAAGCTGCCGCCTGCAGTGCTGGCATCTTATGTGGGTGCTGGTTTGAGTCCTGGCTAATCCATTTCCAATCCAGCTCTCTGTTGATGCATCTGGAAAAGCAGTGGAAGATGGCGCAAGTGCTTGGGACCCTCACCCACATGGGAGACCCAGAATAAGCTCTTGTATCCTGGCTTCAGTCTGGCCCAGCTCTGGCCATTGCAGCCATTTGGGAGAGTGAACAAATGGATGGAGGATCTCTCTCTCTCTCTCTGTAACTCTGGCATTCAAACAAAAAGAAATAAATCTTAAAAAAAAAAAAAAGAAACTGAGAAACCTGGTTGTAAACATGAGATGCCTCAATAAAACCCTCCTATAAAATAATGGTAAGCAGCTGACTGTTACATAACCCATGCGTAGATCGCAGTTGGGCAGCAGGACAGTCTAGACTGTACTGGAAATCTGGAGATGTGGGTTGTAGTCTGAGACTCATTAAGAGAGATAGGAGGGGCCGGTGACGTGGCTCACTTGGTTAATCCTCCACCTGCAGTGCCGGCATCCCATGTGGGCGCTGGGTTCTAGTCCCGGTTGCTCCTCTTCCAGTCCAGCTCTTTGCTGTGGCCCAGGAGGGCAGTGGAGGATGGCCCAGGTGCTTGGGCCCCTGCACCCGCATGGGAGACCAGGAAGAAGCACCTGGCTCCTGGCTTCGGATCGGCGCAGTGCCGGCCGTGGCGGCCATTTGGGGAGTGAACCAATGGAAGAAAGACCTTACTCTCTGTCTCTATAATTCTACCTGTCAAATTAAAAAAAAAAAAAGAGAGAGAGAGATAGGGAAAGTGGGAGGCAAGAGAAAAAAGTTTTTAGTCTAAAACTCTGTGGATCCCAACTTTGAAATATCAGTCTCATCTTAAGTTGGAGGGAGGACTAAACTACAATTCTCCACATTCCTAGCAATGGGAAATGAAAGTGTGAATTAAGAGATAACTGAAGTTTAACACTTAGAATGGGGAGGAATGCGATGATTCGCAGGTACACAGAAGAAGCCTCTTCACCTGATCTGGGAGGACCACAGAGGACTTCCCAAAGGAAGGACTGGCAGGAGAAAGGAGGTGCCGAGGCACAGCAGTCATGTGTGTGTAACTGTTACAAGCTGAAGTGTGCTCTCCCGTTCACACGCAGAAGCCTTAGCCCCCAGCACCTCAGACTGTATTTGGAAACAGAGCTGTCAAAGAAATGATTAAATTGAAATGAGGTGGTGGGCTTTAGTCCAATCTGACTTGTGTCCGATAAAAGGAGGAAGTTTGGACACACAAAAATAAACCAGGGGCAAGACTGTGCAGGGACACGGCAAGATGGCATTGGCAAGACATGGAGAGAGCTTCAGGAAAAACAGCCCTCTTGGCAACCTGACATTGAAATTTCTGTTGTTCAAGCCACTGAGTCTGTAGTCCTTTAATATGGCAGCTCTAACTAATAGAATTATGGAGTTGAGTTTTAAGAAAATGCACAAATCCGAATGGATTCAAGGATCCTTTGTACAAACACTTCAGAGCATTCAGGATTCAGATATGATGTTTTGGTAAGGCTTCATATATGGAAGATGGATGAATATTTGCACAAAAGAAACAAAGACGGTTAGATTCTCCTTTGCAGGGCCAACAAAGATTAACACCAAGTAAATTAGCCTAAAAGATGATTATGAATCATGAAGGGGCTGTCCCAGTAAGGCCTTGATGACTTAGGGGTGTCCAACTTCCAAAGACTTCCAAGAAGCAGCCTTCTTTTTGGTGGAAAAGGTTAAAATGTGCAAGGAAGATAAAAGAAAACAAATAGAATATGGTTTGATGGTTACAGGGAAAATCTCACGTCATACGCACCTATTACTTTCTGTAGCTAATAAACACCTGTACACATTAAATCACCCATTCCCCTCTCACATAACGAACAGAAGCTTGCCTGGAGTGCATTTAACTGTCTCAATCTCCGGTAATCTGGAGGACCAAGACTGCTCGTGGTGTGAATCACTAAACAGATCACTTCACCTGTCTGAAACGGATTCATTTGTAATCGAGGACTAAGCTATAGGTGTCTTTTCGGTTTTCAGGTTCAATGGCTAAAAATAAAAAATCTTGATGGATATGATCTAATTGATATTCACAGTCCAAGGTAACATCTGATGGCTGAGAGTAGCCTAAGGAGAAAGGGGAAGTGGAGTCGAATGAGAATAAACTAGTTGATGTTTTTACATGAGATTATTCCCAAGTCCTAGAATTATACCCACATGGGGGAAGGTACAGTTGTATCATGACAGGGAAGTTTTTGGCTGTGTCCTTTAATAAGGACATAGGTGTTTAAGAACTGATCTGCCTGATCTGAATGGCACATTCAAGTAACCGCTGTTTTAAGGGAATTGCTCAATATTTGCCATAGCTGACGTCATACAGAAGTCAGAATAGTTAACTGACCAAAAGTTGCCTTAGACAAGCAGAAGTGCATATAGATTGGCAGATGGAATGGAGGCACTGCTTAATATCAAAGAGAGAGGCTAAAATAGGCAATAGCTGGAGAACCACTAGAATCAGAGAGTGACCTCCCAAAAGTCCCATGCTCCTCTGTTCAGAGCAAACAGGGAATGCGGTCTTCCTCCTGCTCAAGGTGTTGAGGTGATTTCCATTCCTTACTGACACAGAAATGAGCTGGTACAGTCACTTATGTGTTACGGGGTAGACAAACTCAAATGTCATCAGTGGACACTGGAGAACGGTAGGACCCCACCAATTTCCCTCCGCATGGATGAAAGATTTTGAGAACTGACATGAGTGGAAGTTTACCCCTTCGTTATGATGTTGGGTTGGACATTTTAACCAAGCTTGCCCTTTGCTTTTAAATTTTTTTGTATAAAGTCATACAGGCGTCAACAGTCAACTCAAGGAAGCAGGAAGGTAACACCGATTACATCAAGTTGAAAACATTTCATTTACAACCAATAGGTCACATAAATACTCAGGGCTGTGATTACAAAAATAACCTGAAGTAACTTAAGAGTGAAAATATCAATGCTAGCATTGTAAAACGATCCCACAGATGGCATGCTCTTAGTGTAGGTGGAGGTATGAACTGGAAAATGCACAGTGGCTTCTACTGTTTATCAATAGCTCTGCAAAGTTTGGGAATGGCAAACTCTCTTAAGAACGTCCAAAGAGATGGCCCCTCATGCTAGCCGAAATGCATGTACACGGCAAATAATATCAGGACCCACAGCGACCATTAACCTGGCACGAGGAAGACAGAGCAGCTGGCCATTCGGAAACAAGGACATAACTGACAAAAGTCAGGGCTGCGAATTACCAAAGCCTGAGCTCTAGTTTGGTGACTCGGGGTCTCAGGAAGAAACCTCGGTGCTACACACGTCTGCACGTGAGGCTGCAAGCGCATGCGGCGGGCGGGGCAACCACGGACATACCAACCTGCTTCGCCCCCTCCGAAAACTCTGCGATGCTGAACTCCTTGTCGAAATACGCCCAGATAAGGAAGGAGTAAATTCGAGTCCGAACCCAGTTGATGGGGTTGGAAAAGCCCAGAATGATCATCTTGGTCTTCTGGCGCGGCTGCGGCTGCTGCTCGGTGCTGTAGCTTCGCCCCGCGCGGGCAGGGAAAGCAGCCAGGGCTGCAGGGAGTCCCGGGGAGCTCGGGCAGGGCCGCCGGGGGCCCCGCGCGGGCAGGGCCGAGGCCAGCGAGGCCCGGGCGCTGCGAGGAAAGCGGGCCGCTCCCGTGCCGAGGCGGCGGCAGCAGAAGCAGCAGAGTCCGGGCAACGGCCACCTCACCTCGGCAGCGCCGGGAGTCCGGGAGCCGGCGGCCGCGCCCGGGAGCGAGCGCGAGACCAGCAAGCGGGGGAGGACGAGGCGAGCGGCCAGCGCCATGTTTCCGACCTCTCACCCCTCGGCCGGCCTGTGCTGGCTGGAAAGAAGGCCGGCTAGAACCCACCTCAGCCGAAGCAGACGGAGAGCGCCTGGAGACCCACGTGAGGCTGTTGCTGCCACTCCTGGTGAGTCCGCCCCATCCCGCGCCGCGGCACACAGCCCATGCGCCGGGCCCTTTTCTCCCCGGGTCGTGTTTCCGGGCGGAGCGCGCGCCGGGGAACGCGTTGGAGCATGGGAACTTCCCAAGCTTTGAAAGAGGGCAGGCGTGAGCGACCATGGCGGGCCAGCGAGTCCCGGTACCTCGGCTCGAGGGTGTCTCCGAGGAGCAGTTCTTGCGAGATCTCTACCCACAGGTGAGGCCCTCGCGCGAGGCCCGGGGAGACCCCATCCTTCCTTTGCGGGTGGGGGTGGGGGGACTTCGAGACCTCTCAGGGTAGGGAAGAGGCGATGGGCCGCAGACGATGGATGGTTGTCGATTGAAAAATTCCAGAGGCAACATCTCCGGAGGAGAAGGAGGAGGATGGCCGTGGAGAGCTGAGTGCGCGAGGCCTTTTTGCCCAGACTCTCTGCACGCTGCGGAGAGCCGTGCTGGGGAGGCTGTGCCGTAACTGCGGCAGCGATGCCCAAGTGTCCCCTTTGGCTCGCGTCCGCAGCTTCTGCCGGGTTTCTTGACATTTCGTTCAGGATTCGCGAACGTTACCTGTCGGTTTCCGGATCTGGAGACGCAACTTTGGACTTCGCCGAGCCAGCAGGGAAGACAATGGGAATCCCGCACCACCCCCCCCCCCCCCCGCCCCGGAAACTTCCACTGGTCTTGGATTTTCAGCTAACCTGGGTTCACGTGTCGGAAACTTTTATGTGCAGTTCGAGTCAGGTGGAAAAGGGAATTTTTATTTACATCGCTTTGCAAGGGAGGAAAACAGACCTGCGGAAAACAGGAGGAGGCCAGCAGGTTTAAAGCAAAAAAAACCAAAACCAAAAACAAAAAACTACAGGACTACAGTTTATGGTAGAGAAAAAACCAGCAATTTTCTTACGTGGTGTTTTTCCATCTGGGAGGGTGATCTGAGTGTTACGGAAGTCAAGGATGCAGTTTCTCTTTCTTTCAGTAATTAGCAGCCTACAGAAGATTCAGACCTTCTCTTATTTGCGGGTCTAGCGCTGAATGGGGTGTGCTTGACCGTCAGAGCCCCTGTCTCATGAGATGTTAGTCATGGGCAGTTTTGTGAAGGTGGAGTGATACATGTGAAAGTGTTCAGCAAAAATATTTTCTGATTTAATCTTCCCAAAGCATCACCAAGTTTCATAAAGTAGAGACTTACAAAACAATAGTCTTTGATCATAGTGCAATAAAATTAGAAATTAATAACAAAATGGTTTGAAAAAAAATGCCTTCTACCTGGAAACATTAAAAAGAAAAGTGTGAAGGGGATAGGCCTATCAGATTTTTTTTTAACATGTTCTAATAACATAGTTAACTCTATATGTGGTAAAGATTATGAATAGACCTAGAGAATAAAATAGAAGATCCATAAAAATGTCTCACAATTGTATATGTGTGCATATCCAGAAACACATATATATGCATATCCAGAAATAAATTTCACACTATTTCGTATATAATGAACTTGACTTCAAAAACCACTGGGTCAGATATTGACCTTTTTAAGTAGACTGCTTTCAGAGCAGTTTTAGATCCACAGCTAAATTGAGCAGAAGATATAGAGACCTCTCATATACTTCCTGCCCTCACACATGCCTCCCCTACTGTGTTCTCAGTGTCACCCACGGGAGTGCTACCTTTGTTACAGTTGAAGAACCTACGTTGACACATGATTTTCACACAAAGCCTATAATTCATGTTAGCTTTTACTCTTGGTTTTGTGCATTCTGTGGGTTCAGAGACATTTATAATGGTATGTATCCACCAGTATAGTATATAGAGTAGTTTCACATTCCTAATGGTGCTGGGGCAACTGGATAGTCATTTTTGAAAATTATAAAATTAGATTTGTATGTCACACTATACATGAGAATAAACTCCAGTGGACCAGAAGTATGATAAGAAGCTATACAAGTACTAGAAGAAAATAATGGGTAAATTCCTCAATAATCTAGGTCTAAGGAAGTCCTCTTTTTTTTAAAGATTTATTTATTTACTTGAAAGGTGGTTTTACGGGGTGGGGGAGGGGAGAAGGACAGAGATCTTCCATCCACTGGCTCACTGTCCAGATGGTCCCAACAGCTGGAGCTGGACCTGTGGGAAGCCAGGAGCCAAGAGTTTTCCAGGCCTCCCACATGGGTGGCAGGGGCCCAAACACTTGGGCCATCCTCTGTTGCTTTCCCGGGAGCATTAGCAGGGAGCTGGATTGGAAGTGGAGCAACCGGGACTTGAACCAAGCACCCATATGGGATGCCAGTGGCACAGGTGGCAGCTTTATGGGTTGCACCACGACTCTGGCCCTGGAATTTCTTTCTAATTGTGACTCAAATTCAGATATAATAGAAGATTTGCATGACAAAAACTGTCAACAAATTGGAAAGAAAAACAGAAATTGGAAAATATTCACAATATATATACAGAGAAGTAGAAATTCGCATACAAGAGTACATAGAACAAAAGGGTATCCTTTTAAGATTTTTTTAAAAGATTTTATTTATTCATTTGAGAAGTAGATTTACAGACAGTGAGAGGGAGAGACAGAGAGAAAGGTCCTCCCTTTTTGGTCACTCCCCAAATGGCCACAACAGCCGGCGCTGTGCCAATCCAAAGCCAGGAGCCCGGTGCTTCTTCCTAGTTTCCCACGTGGGTGCAGGGGCCCAAGCACTTGGGCCATCCTCTACTGCCCTCCCAGGCCACAGCAGAGGGCTGAATTGGAAGAGGAGCAGCCGGGACCAGAACCGGCATCCATATGATGCCGGCGCTGTAGGCGGAGGATTAACCTGTGCCATGGCACAGACCCCAAGATTTTTCAAAAATAAGGAAAGAAAAAAAGAACAAGCCGATTCAGGACTGTAGAGAGGGTGTTTGATGATTTCCTATTCACTAGCAAAATTGCTTTTGTTTAATGAGCAGAATGAGTAGGAATATTGCTGTAATGAATGTTTGCTGAAGCTTTCTTTGGTATTCTACTAAAATTTTAGATAACTTTCTGAAAACCTTCTCAGAAACAAGCAGATTGTTATTTTCTTTCTCTCCCCTCCTCTGCTGTGTCTTTCTTCAGTCCTCCAGAAAATCAGACAAAATAGTTTTCTCCCCCCTCCCCTGCTGTGTCTTTCTTTAGTCTTCCAGAAAATCATCCCAAAAAACTGTTGCATACCACTTCTACCTCTTGGTAGCGATAGCTTTGGTTGTGCTTTGTCATAAGGATTATAATGATAAAGCCATGTTTCATCTTCTCTTCCAGCTCTTCCAAGAAATGTTTCAGGATCTTGATCCTACTCGTTAAAGATTTCTCTGCTTTTGTCTATAGCTGATTGGGATTCAACAGTGTAGGCACCTGTCAAGAATAAAGTTGTCTGAACCTTAATTTTTCAGTCAGAATTGTGTAAACTGAACCAATGGAGATTGTTAGCAGAAAAAACAAAGGCCCAGGCTACTTGTTACTTGAAAGTCAATACTCAAGAAATAAGCGTTCATGCAAAGAAATCAGTTTTATTCAAGAGGGTAGCAGGTGGGGCAGGTGGACTTTCATTCCAAATTCTGAAATTAGTAGGAGGGCTTTTTCAAGAAAAGGGGAGTTGAAGGTTAGGGAAGACAATGGGCTTAGTAGGCTATGGGCAGATTTCAATGGTCAGTTGAGGTAATTATTCGGAATTTTGCCAGGTAGTAATCTGTTATGGGCCTGATATTTACAGCTGGTGGTCATAAATCCTTTCCATATTTAAGGTCCTGCAACTTTAGGTGACTTCCCTGACATCAGTCTCTGGAATTCTTAAGCAGTATTATTTACCTGTGAAGTTAAACATTTAAATCTGATTAAATAGCAAAGTCAACTGTTAGATTTTGTTAAGCAGAAAATGGAGTCACTGGAATTCTGGATGCATCTTGTCTGTGGTATTGACTGTTTCTAGTTTGATCACCAGTCCTTTTCATTTGTGGCATGAAGATTTTTTTTTTTCAAACAATTTGATGTAGATGGTTCGCTGCTTTGACCTTTACCTTCAAAATTATCTCATCCTTCGTCCCTTCTTGAAGTGAATTTTCCTTTTGTGAACTGCTGAGTTATTGGGGGCCTTGACCTCATAAACTTTTCATGAAGTATTAGTGATTTCACCATTCTTCCAACCAAGTTTTAATATAAAATTAATGTTTGTTCTTGCTTCAATTTTAGCAGAATTCATGGTGTTCTGAGAGGGACTATTTTCAAACTGATGTTTTATCCTTAATGCTTCAAACTATATCCTATTCAGACATGTTATTATGACTTAGTATGAATTTGTTTTGGTGCAAAAAAACCTTGACATCCATGTATAGTTTTTTTCATAATTTTCATTTTCCATTACCTTTTATAAAGACCCCCCTCATAATATAAAGATATATATATAATTTATCAATTCATATATAAATTTATAAAGGATGTGTGAGTGTGTACTCATATTTGGGGGGAGGTTGTGGACACATGCTTTCATATATTTCCCAGTTCTGCCCACGAGAAGACAGAAATAATGATGTCCCTTTAATCCTTGCGAGAAGGAGGTAGTGCTACTTGAATAAATGACTAAATGCACGGCTGGGAAAGACAAAGTATAAAATGAAAGCACTGGATTGTGTTTTTTTACCTTAAAGTAAGGAAGTACTCAGGTTACAAAGCCACAGGAACCAGGTTCTACGGGCCAAATATGGGATAATTTAAATATCAAAGTATTATTGCCTGATTATTACTCGGGGAATAAAATAAATTGTCTAGAAGTAGAGTTCACTTTGACATTATGATACCATATAGGCATCAGTTTGTGTCCTGCTGTTTCTCTTCTGATCCAGCTCTCTGCTAATGGCCTAGGAAAGCAGTAGAAGGCGGCTCAAGAACTTGGGCCCCTGAACCCGTATGGGAGACCTGAGGAAGCTCCTGGCTCCTGGCTTCAGATTGGTTTAGCTCCAGCTGTTGTGGCCATTTGGGAAATGAAGCAGCATATAGAAGACCTTTCTCTCTTGTCTTTCCCTCTCTGTTTGTAAATCTACCTCAACATTTTTTAAAGATTTACTTATTTATTTAAAAGGCAGAGATACAGAGAGGCAGAGAGAGAGAGAGATTCTTCCCATTTGCTGGTTCACTCTCCAAATTGCTGCAACAGCTGTAGTTGTGCCGATGCAAAACCAGAAGCTTCCTCCAGGTCTCCCATGTAGGTGCAGAGGCCCAGGGACTTGGGCCATCTTCCACTGGTTTCCCAGGCCACAGCAGAGAGCCAGATCAGAAGTAGAGCAACTGGGTCTTGACTGGCACCCATATGGGATGCCAGCATTGCAGGTGATGGCTTTACCCACTATGCCACAATACTGGCCCCTCAAATAAATAATTTAAAATATAAAAAAATTAATAATATGTTTCTCTATATTCACATAGTAAGAGTGACAGCAAGTGATAAAACAAATAGGCAAAATGTTAAATTAACAGTTGATGGATCAAGTTAAAGTGTATATGGGGGGCTGATGCTGTGGCATAGCAGGTAAAGCCACCACAGCAGTGCCGGCATCCCACATGGGTGCCGGTTTGAGTCCTGGCAACTCCACTTCTGATCCAGCTCTCTGCTCTGGCCTGGGAAAGCAGTAGAAGATAACCCAAGTCCTTGGGCCCCTGCGCCCATGTGGGAGACCTGGGAGAAGCTCCTGGCTTCTGGCTTTGGATCGGTGCAGCTCTGGCCATTGTAACCAACTGGGGAGTGAACCAGTGGATGGAAGACCTCTCTCTGTATCTGCCTCTCCTCCTCTCTCTGTGTAACTCTGACTTTCAAATAAATAAGTAAATCTTTTTTTTAAGGGTATATGGAAATTCTTTGTAATTTTTAAGAAACTTTTTATGAGTTTGAAATAGTATCAGAATAAAAAGTTATAAGAAGTAATTGACTATAAAATACAAATTTAAGTTGTATCTACTTTTTTGAAAAGATTTATTTATTTGAAAGGCGAAGTTACAGAGAGGCAGAGGCAGAGACAGAGAGAAAGGTCTTGCGTCTGCTGGCTCACTCCCCAAATGGCCTGAATGGCTAGAGCTAGGCCAATCTGAAGCCAGGAGCCAGAAGATTCTTCCAGGTCTCCCACGTGGGTGCAGGGGCCCAAGGACTTGGACCATCTTCTGCTGCTTTCTGAGGCACATGAGCAGGGAGCTGGTTTGGAAGTAAGACACCTGGGACTCTAACCTGCACCTATGTGGGATGCTAGTACTGCAGATGGCTGCTTTGCTCACCATGCCACAGCGCCAGCCCCAATTGTTTCCATTTTAGTCATGAAAATACTTTAGTATTCAGATTTCTCTTTTGTATTATTTATTGATGATACTGCTATTCTGTTTTATTTTCCTAACCTTAGAATTTTGTTCTCTGTATAATACGTAGGTCCTCTTCCTGTGTTAGTGACAGCATAAGCTATCAGAAGCTTTGAGTCTGATCATTTTGTAATCTAGACTCAAATCCTTTTATTTTCGTCCTTCTGTTGCAGAATGCAGCTCCTGATGTATTACTGGTTTTGATGAAATGTTTTCATTGTGTTTCCCCTACTTACAGAGAAAGCCCCTGGTGTTGGAAGGAATCGATCTGGGGCCCTGTACAAGCAAATGGACAGTGGATTACCTAAGCCAAATCGGAGGGAAAAAAGATGTAAAGGTTCACGTTGCCGCAGTTGCACAGATGGACTTCATTAGTAAGAACTTTGTGTATAGGTATTTTCTTCTGAGGTTTATTCTGGGGATACAAATATTAAAAAAATTTTTTTTTGTATTATATAAAAACCATGAGGCATTTCTTCTTTTGGCTAGCTTGTGATATAATCAAGGAATAGCTTACTGATGTTTAGAGTAGCTTTTTTTTTTTTTTTTTTTTTAAGGATTTATTTTATTTATTTGAAAGAGTTACAGAGAGAGGTAGAGACAGAGGGAGAGGTCTTCCATCTGCTGGTTCACTCCCCAGATGGCCGCAATGGCCGGAGCTGTGCTGATCCTAAGCCAGGAGCCAGGAGCTTCTTCTGGGTCTCCCACATGGGTATAGGGGCCCACAGACTTGGGCCATCTTCTACTGCTTTCCCAGGCCACAACAGAGAGCTGGATTGGAAGAGGAGCAGCTGGGACTAGAACCAGTGCCCATATGGGATGCCGGTGCTTCAGGCCAGGGCTTTAACCCACTGTGCCACAGCGCTGGCCCTTAGAATGGCTTTTAAAAAATAAGAATTCTAAGTTTACATAATTATGCAAATGCAAAGACATTTCCAAGGACTATTCTTATTATTTATTTTTATTTTTATTTGAAAGGCAGAGAAACAGAGACAAAGATCTTCCATCTGCTGGTTCATTCCCAAAATGCCACAGTAGCCAGGGCTGAGCTCAGCCAAAGCCAGGAGCCTGGAACTCCATCCAGTTCTTCGATATGTTGGCAGGGACCAGCATTTGAGCCAGCACTGCTGCCTTCTAGGTGTCCATTAGCAGGAAGCCGGAATTGGAAGTGATCTGGGATGCAAACTCAGGTGCTGTGATAGGAAATGCTGGTAATCCCAAGTGGAGGTCTGACCTCTTACCACACACCTGACCCTTTGGGTTTAAATTTATTTATTTATTTTTTCATTTTCACTTGAAAGCAGACAGGGAAGAAAGTTAGTACCTTCTGAATTCATGAAAAGAAGACAACTTCTGTAGTGACTTAGATTATATCTGAAGTCAGGTATTCATTCAGTGCTTGATTAATTGAACATATCACATTAGTAACTTGCCTAGTGTAGGAAATTGTAAAAATCTCATGTTTTCTTTTTCTTCCTTCAGAAATTTAGGACAGATCTGGTTTGTCAAGCTTTTATCAACTTGAATAACTTTGAAAAAGAAGACAGTTTTCTCTTGATAAAATAAACCTAAATATCTTTAATTTTTCTCATGATAATCATTTAAAAGTATTATAAGAGATAATCAAAAGCTGCTAAATGGTGAAACTTGAAAGCTTTCAATGCTGTCATCTTGCAGATTTCGTATGCTGTTTGTTCCCATGAGTTTCATTAAAAAACAAACAGCTTTCAAATTCTTAGCACTTGCAGTTCCCAGCAAATTCAGTCTATTGAAAAACCCTGTAGTTCACAAAAGACTTCAGTGTAGAAATGATTTAAACAGAGCTTGTAATGTCTGGGGCCATTCTTTTCTCATTAATTTTCCAAGCCTATACAGCATCTGCCAAAGCATTTCTTAATTTTTGATCCTTTGGATAGTCACCATTATAGTTTTTGTTTTTAATAGGTCATGAATAGAATTTAATTGCTATAATTTTTCCAGGTATAAGGACTTTTCATTTTTTATTACATCAAGAAAGTATGAGTGCTAGAATGATGAGTGTTTTTCTTCCTGCAATTAATGATGTTTATTTTCTAGAGAGTCCAGTGCCATAACAAATGGGTACTGAAACTTCATCTTGAATTGCCCTGTGATATTTTTGACACATCATCTAAAGACTTGTTTTTAGAACACATGCATTATTATGTAATAGTTCCTATCCCAGCTTCCTCCAAACCGTTCAATAGAGCTACTAAAAAACTGCAAATATTTTTAATGCAAGGAAAAATATTTTAGTTACTTTTTATGTTTACCAAGCAATAGGAAATAAGAGGTATGTTGGACAGACTAGAAACTGAGAAATCCTACATGCACATATAATTTTTTTTAAAGATTTATTTTATTTATTTGAAAGAGTTACAGAGAGAGAGAGGTCTTCCATCTGCTGGTTCACTCCCCAAATGGCCACAACAGCCGGAGCTGAGATGATCCAAATCCAGGAGCCAGGTGCTTCTTCCAGGCCTCCTATGTGGGTGCAGGAGCCCAAGGACTTGGGCCATCTTCTACTGCTTTCCCAGGCCATAGCAGAGAGCTGGATTGGAAGTGGAGCAGCCAGGACTTGAACTGGCACCCATATGGGATGCCAGCGCTGCAGGCCAGGGATTTAACCTGCTGCGCCACAGTGCCAGCCCCATACATATAATGTTTTTATCAGTCTGGTGTTGCTTTTTTGCTTTATCTCATATCTGAAAATTGATGAATAAGTATTAACTTTGCTTATTTCTTGATAGCTCTCCCTGTTGATTCCAGAGTTAAGATTTATACAGTTAAGAGAACTTGTGTGGTGAAAGGATGTTGTTGGTATTCTTCTGGTCATAGATTTAATTGTTTTAAAAAAATGACACTCTGAATCTCATAAACATTTTTTTAAAAGATGAGGAAGAGATAGAGAAAAAAATCTTCCATCATCTGATTCACTCTCTAAATGGCTGCAACAGCCAGGACTGGGCCAGACCCAAGACAGGAGCCTGGAACTCTGTTGGGGTCTTCCATGTGGGTACAGGGGCCCAAGGACTTGGGCCATGCTTTCCCTGGGCATAGCAGGGAGCTTGATCAAAAGTGCAGCAATCAGGATGTGAACTAGTGCCCAGATGGGATGCTAGTGTTGCAGGCAGTGACTTAATGTGCTACCACAACCCCAGTCCCAGAATCTCATGAGCTTTGCTGCTTCTACCTATCCTGTTGTGTAATTCGTATCATCATCTGGCTCTCATATTTTCATTAGTCTTCACCTTGATTTTGTAAAATAACCTTTCCAGAATGGAAAGGACTGTAGAGCTTTTTTCCTACTTATTTTAAACATCATTGACTACGTGCATGCTGCTAAAGAGTACATTAACATTGTTGTGATCCTCACCATTTGTCCTTTACTGAACACTTGTTGTATGTATACCAAACCCTGTGCCAAGCATTCTTGATTATATTACTCATTTAATCTTCAGTCTGCGAGGCAGATCTTGTTTATGGTCATTTCAGTTATAAGAAAGTCCTAAAAATAGTAACATTGAAGCTCACATTAGTTAAAATGATGAAACTCAGAGTGTATACTTAAATTGCCTGACTCCCCAGAGTCCATGATCTTAACCCCTCTTTGATACTATCTCCTGTCGCTCCCCCTCTTCGTGGAGGAGCGACACTAGACCCTGCCTAGGTTTCCTATCCAAGTCACGGCACCATTATGCCTCCTAGGCTTCCTATCCGAGTCACGGCACCATTATGTCACTCCCCGTCTTCGTGGAGGAACGACACAGGACCCTGCGTTGTTCTTTCGTCTGCTCGGCCCTCCCCGGGTTTGCTGCTGGTTCTTCCCGGGTTGGCTACCGACCCTTCCACCTCCGTGGAAGGGCAGTTCCCCCTGCCACTTTCCCCACTTCCGCGGGGGAGCAGCACACCGCCGGCCGGCTCTCTCGGGGGCTGCTCAGGTGTTCCTTCAGATAGATGTTCCTGGTGCATGTTGTCTCTCTCCTCCTTTATAGTCCTCTTCCACCAATCCCAACTCTGCTACCCACACGCCAAGTACGCTGCTCTCCTCCAATCAGGAGCAGGATCAGCTCCTGCAGGTCATCACTCAAGTTGGCGAGAGACAGCTGCGTAGAAGCTGTTGACTCCTCTCCCAGCGCCATATTGTGGGAGAGCAGATGCATAGAATAAGTCTTAATTCGAGTAACTTAGTCTAATCTGAGTTGCTCCCCACAATCTCCCTTACTGGTCTGAATGCCAAATGGTATTTTCATAGCAGATGTCCTACTTTTTGAAGCATGTGTAGGATATTTAAAACCTCAAGGCCAAGGAACTTCCCCTCCCCTGGGTCTAGCAGAAGCTCTGATAGGTATTAACACCTAGAGGAGAAGGTTGCTGACAGCACCCCGGTTCTGCTACTCTGGACTGTCTCTACTCTTTGGGGATCACCATTCTGCCCTTTATTTGTAAAGGCCTTGAAGCATTCCTGTGTTCTCCCTGGTAGGAAAGCTAATGTGGGCAACTATAGCAGTGACAGAGGTAGCTGTGGACCAGAGAAGCTTCCCCACTGGCCCAAATTCTACAAAGATGGCTTGGTAGGAATGAAGGTATGTGATGAGGTCTGAGATGGAAAACATTAAATATGAAGTTGCCAAGTAAATTATGTTGTATTACAGTTGTTCAGAAATGAAAGTGGTAGACTAACAGAACCCTGCATTAGTCTGCATAGTTAGCAGACTCCACCTTTCTCTCCTGCAGTGCTTACTCCACATAATTACAGCAGTGGCTCCACGTTCACGTTGACACTCAACACCCAGATTACATGCCTGTCCACAACCTGGCACAGAGTCACTTAGCTTTGCAGGATACAAAGCAGGAAATAGCATTCTAGCAGGATAGTGTCTGTGGAAATCTTTATACAAATCCAAGGCCCATTTTTTGACTCACCAAGCCGCAGCTTTATTCTAAGAGAACAAGACTATGGATGTGGTACAGAAACCCCCTAGCTAAGGTAAGCCACATGATCCACAAAAACCAGTAGCTTGAAACAGTCCATGAACTTAGCTTCTAGGTTCCTTCAAGGACCATACTGAGTTCTGAGAGTTACACTGCACACAGGAAAGCCAAATCCTCTGCTTCCTAGCAAGTATTTAATAGTGCGCTCAGAGGCCTTCTGGTGCAAACATAGTTAACCAATCCAGGGTCATTTTAGGAATAAGGTTGCCTGATACAGTTGACATTCCTCATTTATCTACTAGGTGTACTTCTAAGAAAACTGGGAAAAGCATCTAGCCCAAGGTCACCTCATGGAGAAGGAGAAGCTAATTTTGCAGAATCTTTCTAGTTCCTCAGTACAGGTTTCAAGTAGGAAGATACTCGATAGGAAGACGGAAACCATTGCAGCTGTTACTCAGATGTTCAGAGGCTGGAGTGCAGTGGGGAGTAGATAGGAGGGACCTTTGACAGAAGCTTTTGAGTACTTCATGGTCTTGTTACTGATACAGTGTCCTCTGCATGTATATAATAGTACTTTTGTGTTCAGAGCTGAAGAGAGAAGATGGTACTTGGAGAAAAGATAGCCTTCTAGGCTCAAGAGTGGGATGTAAAGGAAAAAAAAAACCTTGCTTCTACATTGTCTAACACTGTTCTTTAGAATGGAAGGACACAGCTATTTGGGCAGAAATTTTGAAGAAAAAAAATTGGTCACTTTGCTGAAATTCTTTTGGGCTATTTTTCCTCAGAACTTTAAAATGACAGGGGATAATGTGGTTAGATGCGAGCCATATTGCTGGCTTCTGGGTTCTGGTGTTGCAGAGGCATGAATTGGTATAGAAAGATGAGAATATTGGAGGAAGGGGAGGGCAAAGGACAGTATTCATAGGGCTTTATCTTCACTGGGTCTTTTGCCCACTGTCTCTTCTGAAGTAGCATTGTTTGTCTCATTTATCACAAGATATGTTTTTGCCATGACACTTAAAAATAGGGAGCAATCAGAGCCTGAGAGTCTGTGTATTTCCAATGGTAATCAGATATCATAGGGAGATTTTTCTATCAATAGCTTGGAATAGAAGCGTATTGAGTCATAAGGACCCATTTGTACCATAGATTTAAAGCTCTTTATTTCCAAAACATCAGATAACTGAGGTCAAATAAATATACTGGTAAATGAATTTTAAAAATTTAGAAATCCACATAATAGATCATAATAAAAATTAGGATACTCTGAAACAAAGGTCATTTCCCACTCAACAAGCCTATATGTATAGCAATTAGATTAATACTAGTTTACCTGTTACTAAGTCCAGGTACTCTTTTTTGTTTATTTCAGAACATTACCTTTTGATGAGTTGGTCCAAAGAGCAGCTGAAGAAAAGCATAAAGAATTCTTTATTTCAGAGGTAATTGCTTTTACCAGTTTTTAAAAAAGTTTTATTTATTTATTTGGAAAGCAGAGTGACAGAGAGAGGGGAGCGACAGATCTTCCATCTGCTGATTCACTTCTCAAATGACTGGAATAGCTGGGACTGACAAGGAGCCAGGACCTCCATCCAGGTCTCCCATGTGGGTGACAAGAACTCAAATTCTTGGGCCATCGTCTGCTGCTTTAGCGGGAAGCTTAATCCAAGCAGAGATGGGACTCAATATTAGGTACCCCAATATGGAATGCAGTATCCCATGTGGCAGCTTAACCCATTGCGCCACAGTGACCGCCCCTTAAATAATTTTTTAAAAAAAGCATTATATGTGTATACTAAATAGATTTTTGTTTAAAATAATATTTTAATTTTTTTACTTTTATTAATATAAAGAGAACAGATTTCATGTATTTCAAAGGTACAATTCTAAGAAGATAAGCATACTTCCTCTCTCCTTCCCTCAATCCCACTCCTTCCTTTTTTCTTTAATCTTTGCATATACATAATTTCAGTCCAATCTATAATCACAAGTTTAATGCATCACTACCCATAATACTCTAAAAGTAAAAAGAATAAAGACCACAGTTTCCCAGGAGTATACATAAGGGCTAAAAACAACTATCAAATCTAAAAGAAAGGCCGGTGCTGTGGCTCAATAGGCTAATGCTCCGCCTTGCGGCGCCGGCACACTGGGTTCTAGTCCTGGTTGGGCGCCGGATTCAGTCCCGGTTGCCTCTTTTCAGGCCAGCTCTCTGCTGTGGCCTGGGAGTGCAGTGGAGGATGGCCCAAGTGCTTGGGCCCTGCACCCCATGGGAGACCAGGATAAGCACCTGGCTCCTGGCTTCGGATCAGCGCGGTGCGCCTGCCGCAGCACGCCGGCCGCGGCGGCCATTGGAGGGTGAACCAACGGCAAAGGAAGACCTTTCTGTCTCTCTCTCTCTCACTGTCCACTCTGCCTGTCAAAAATTAAAAAAAAAAAAATCTAAAAGAACATTTGATTTACAAGAGCCATTGCATTCTCTGATAGCCATTCGTAAGATTTGGTTGGATGCACCATAGGTTGTAGCTCTGTTGTTCAGAATTAGCTCTCAAACCTTTGCCAAATTATTTTTATGAGCCTCAGTATCTAGAAAATGAGGGTAATAATAGTACCTGTTTCATAAGGTTTTTATGAGAATTAAATAAAATCTGTGAAGTACTGCTGTGTGATATGTAGAAAATCATTAAACATTAGCAATTAACATTACATTCTTTGAACATGCTTAGTCTGATATGGCAAATTTAAATGCTATTGGAGAACTTTATTTTTACATATATGTCTTTTACTATTGGACTGCTTTCATAATGTTAGCTGTTAATAATGATTCCTACTATGTGTGTTGCTGTAACATTTGTTCAGTATTAAGTACAAAAGAATTCTAGTTATTTTACATTATAGTCCAGCTTTAAGTAATTTGGCTTACATACCTTGAGATAGGCCTTCAATATTATAGTTAAATACATTTTTAAAAAATATACTGTTGAGGCCAGCATTGGCATAGCAGGTTAAATCTGTGCCTGTGATGTGGGCAATGGGCGCTGATTCGAGTCCCAGCTGCTCCACTTCTGATCCAGCTTCCTACTAGTGTAGCTGGGAAAGCAGCAGAGGATGGCCTAAGTGCTCGGGCTCCTGCACCCACATGGAAAACCCAGAAGAAGCTCTAGGCTCCTGGTTCCTGGTTTCAGGCCCAGCCCATTTGGGGAGTGAATAAATGGTCGAAGATCTCTCTCAGTAACTCTGACTTTCAAACAAATAAATAAATAAATCTTTTTTTTAAAGTGCACTATTTTACCTCAAATGCACATTTTAAAAATAAGCTGCTTTTTTCAGTAAAATTGTTTGCATTTGAGTCAGCTGGGCCTGAAAGTTTGGTTGTAAAAGGTGTTGCATTTTCACAGTTCTCGATAGGTAATGGTAATACTAGATTACTACCAAGATCACTATAAACTCTGTATGTCTATGATTTTGTATTACAACTAGAGTCTTTTTTTATGAAACTAATTTTAATCTGTTCCTTTTATTATGTCTTTATACAATTCCCCCTCTACTATATAATCTGATACAAAAGGAATTTAAAACCCATTCCATTTTTCCAAGTTAAAAAGACGTAGACATTTACCATCTATATTCTTTCTCTGAACTGATTCCATTAGCTGTGCTGGAGAACTGGATTTTGAACTCATAGCCATGCTTTGAACATTGTGTCTTCAGTGGCCCTTCAAGACTTTCCTAAGGGTAATGAGTGGACAGATTCCATGAAATAGGAAATGAAGCAAAAGAGACAGGTTGAAAGATTAAAGTTGAAAAAATATGGAAAGTATGTAAACAAGATGAAGATGGACCATCAGTTCAGTCCTCCAGGAAGCAGACACTGAGATGGAATTTAGAGTGCAGAACACTTCATAGAGTCATACCTGTGGAAGGAAAGGAGAAAAAGCTGCATCGGGCAGGCAGGAGCCCTCAGAAATACAGATCTGACAGTCTGCCAGGTCATTGTGGAACTCCTGAGCAAGACTGCTGGTCAGAGGAGCACTGCTTACGGTAGCAATGTCTAAGCCATTTACCATCTTACTCAGTTATTTGTTGAGGCCACCCCAAGAACATGACCTGGGTTCAAATGCTAAGATGGAACTGCAGAAGTTAACAGCTTGCAATTCTAAGTTAATCACACTCCTCTGACCAAATAGTGGGTCCTTTCTTCAAGGGGAGGCTGAGCAGTACATCTCTGTCTTTGTTTAAAAGGGGCAGAATTCATATTCTTGAATTGGATTCGCCTTTTATTGACCCAGTCTATCTGTGTTCTCTAGTTCTTGTAGAAAATGCAGGCAACAGTGAATGTATTATAATTCAGTTTCCTATTTAGCTTTGAGTAAGGTACAAAAGCAGCAGTTTAAGTTTACGATGATGAAATGATATGTTTCTGATTTATACATGAGTTGACTTTTCAGTATTGGCATGAGAATTTATATGGTCAAGGATAGACTTAGCTGGGTAAAATGTGATGTTTCAGTTTAATACTTTGAGATCATATGTGCTATGCAGTTGTGAATTATTTTATTAAATGTTAAGATACTGTTAAGAAAATCTAAGTAATTTAGAGTATAAAGTCAGTCATTGTGACTCTATATACAATTTGTGTGTGCTGCCTTTAGAATTTAATTTCCTAATGTTTTGTGGATCTGGTTATTATAAGCATCATATGAGCATTTCTTCATATGGCCACCAGAGAGCATTAGTAGAAAGGGTAAAATAATTGAACTTTTTAGGAAACTAAGTAACTGGGTCATATTTTAAGAGTTATTTCCTTCCTACTTTATCTCCTAATATTTTTAAATGAATGCTGATGTTAATTTTTCTTTGCAATGTTTAAGGATGAGAAATACTACCTACGGTCACTTGGGGAAGATCCTAGAAAAGTAAGAATTCTGGATTTTAAATAGTTGCTTAAAACCTAAATAAGTGTATACATTTTAATTTACACTGTAAGTTTTATACTTCTTGCCTGACATATAACCTGTTTTTTTTTTTTTTTCATTCTTTTCTTGATGATTTGTACACCTGAAAAGCAGGATAATTTTTTTTAAAGATTTTAGTTATTTATGTGAGAGGTAGAGTTATACACAGTGAGAGGGAAAGGGAGAGAAAGGTCTTCCTTCCCTTGGTTCACTCCCCAAATGGCCGCAATGGCCAGAGCTGTTTCAATCTGAAGCCAGGAGCTTCTTCCAGGTCTCCCATGAAGGTGCAGGGGCCCAAGGACTTGGGCCATCTTCTACTGCTTTCCCAGGCCATAGCAGAGAGCTGAATTGGAAGAGGAGCAGCCGGGACTCGAACCGGCACCCATATGGGATGCCGGCACTGCAGGAGGAGGATTAACCTAGTGCGCCACAGTGCTGGCCCCAGAAGGATAATTTTTAAAAGTTGATTACTGGCTGGCGCTGTGGCTCACTACGCTAATCCTCTGCCTTGCGACGCTGGCACACCGGTTCTAGTCCCGGTCGGGGCGCCGGATTCTGTCCCAGTTGCCCCTCTTCCAGGCCAGCTCTCTGCTGTGGCCAGGGAGTGCATTGGAGGATGGCCCAAGTGCTTGGGCCCTGCACCCCATGGGAGACCAGGAGAAGTACCTGGCTCCTGCCATCGGATCAGCGCGGTGCACCCGCCGCAGTGTGCCAGCCGTGGCAGCTATATTGGAGGGGGAACCATCGGCAAAAAGAAGACCTTTCTCTCTGTCTCTCTCTCTCTCACTGTCCACTCGGCCTGTCAAAAAAAAAAAAAAAAAGTTGATTACTTAGTTTACAAGAAGAATCATAGAATCTTAGTGTTAAAGGTAAACTAAACTCTACACAATAAGAAATCTCTTCCATTGTGTATTTCACAGATAACCATCCAGTTAATAAAATACTGATCTAAAATAATTTTTTAAAATCCTAAATATCTCATTGTACAAATTTTGACGTCTATTCAAATTAAATGGCTGCAGTGTTCCTAAGGTGATCAAGAAAGATTGCATTTTTTTGCTGAAGTCACTATTTAGTTCTTTGCCCTCTTTTTTTTCTCCCTCAATAGAACCCATAGATTTTTACATAATTGATGAATTTCAAGGTATTGTCTCCTGAATTTTTAATACTTAGTATTAAAGTAAATAGCAGTTGTGTAATTGTTGCCTGAAGTGGAAAGAACCTTCGTATTAATGAAGCACTTTGAGGTTAACAATAGTGATATTTTTATCACAATAGTGAATTTTTTTATTTTTTTATATATTTTTAAATTTAATTATTTTATTTTATTTTATTTTTATTTAGTAAATATAAATTTCCAAAGTACAGTTTATGGATTAAAATCCCCCCCCATAATTTCCCTCCCACTCGCGCCCCTCCCGTCTCCCGCTCCCTCTCCCATTCCATTCACATCAAGATTCATTTTCAATTATCTTTATATACAGAAGATCAGTTTAGCATATATTAAGTAAAGATTTCATCAGTTTGCACCCACACAGAAACACAAAGGGTAAAATACTGTTTCAGTACTAGTTATAGCATTACTTCACATTGGATAACACATTAAGGACAGATCCCACATGAGAAGTAAGTACACAGTGACTCCTGTTGTTGACTTAACAATTTGACACTCTTGTTTATGGCGTCAGTAATCTCCCCAGGCTCTAGTCATGAGTTGCCAAGGCTATGGAAGCCTTTTGAGTTCGCTGACTTTGATCTTATTCAGACAGGGTCATAGTCAAAGTGGAAGTTCTCTCCTCCCTTCAGAGAAAGGTACCTCCTTCTTTGATGGCCCGTTCTTTCCACTGGGATCTCACTCGCAGAGAGCTTTCATTTAGGTCTTTTTTCCCAGAGTGTCTTGGCTTTCCATGCCTAAAATACTCTCAAGGGCTCTTCAGCCAGATCCGAATGCCTTAAGGGCTGATTCAGAGGCCAGAGAGCTATTCTATGAGTCTGCTGTATATCCCGCTTCTCATGTTGGATCGTTCTCTCCCTTTTTGATTCTATCAGTTAGTATTAGCAGACACTAGTCTTGTTTGTGTGATCCCTTTGACTCTTAGACCTATCAGTGTGATCAATTGTGAACTGAAATTGATCACTTGGACTAGTGAGATGGCATTGGTACATGCCACCTTGATGGGATTGAATTGGAATCCCCTGGCACGTTTCTAACTCCACCATTTGGGGCAAGTCTGATTGAGCATGTCCCAAATTGTACATCTCCTCCCTCTCTTATTCCCACTATTATATTTAACAGGGATCACTTTTCTGTTAAAATTTAAACACCTAAGAATAATTGTGTGTTAATTACAGAGTTCAACCAATAGTACTAGAACAAAACAAAAAATACTAAAATGGATAAAGTATTACATTGTACATCAGCACAAGAGCTGATCAAGTCACTGTTTCTCATAGTGTCCATTTCACTTCAACAGGTTCCCCTTTGGTGCTCAGTTAGTTGTCACCGATCAGGGAGAACATATGATATTTGTCCCTTTGGGACTGGCTTAATTCACTCAGATAATGTTTTCCAGATTCCTCCATCTTGTTGCAAATGACTGGGTTTCATTGTTTTTGACTGCTGTATAGTATTCTATAGAGTACATGTCCCATAATTTCTTTATCCAGTCTACTGTTGATGGGCATTTGGGTTGGTTCCAGGTCTTAGCTATTGTGAATTGAGCTGCAATAAACATTAAGGTGCAGACCGCTTTTTTGTTTGCCAATTTCATTTCCTTTGGGTAAATTCCAAGGAGTGGGATGACTGGGTTGAATGGTAGGGTTATATTCAGGTTTCTGAGGAATCTCCAGACTGACTTCCTTAGTGGCTTAACCAGTTTGCATTCCCACGAACAGTGGGTTAGTGTCCCCTTTTCCCCACATCCTCTCCAGCATCTATTGATGGTAGATTTCTGCATGTGAGCCATTCTAACCGGGGTGAGGTGAAACCTCATTGTGGTTTTGATTTGCATTTCCCTGATTGCTAGTGATCTTGAACATTTTTTCATGTGTCTGTTGGCCATTTGGATGTCCTGTTTTGAAAAATGTCTATTGAGGTCCTTGGCCCATCTCTTAAGTTTGTTGTTTGTTTATTGCTGAACCTGCAATCTTGTTATATAGTCTATTATTCCTTCATTATAAAGATCATGTGTTGGGGCTGGCACTGTGGCATAGTGGGTATAAAGCCACCGTCTGCAGTGCCAGCATCCCATATGGGTACGGGTTTAAGTCCTGGCTACTCCACTTCTGATCTAGGTCTCTGCTATTACCTGGGAAAGCAGTAGAAGATGGCCTACGTCCTTGGGCCCATGCACCTATGTGCAAGACCTGAAAGGAGCTCCTGACTCCTGGCTTTGGATTGGTCCAGCTCTGACTGTTGTGGCCATTTGGGGAGTGAACCAACAGATGGAAGACCTCTCTCTCTCTCTCTCTTTCTCTCTCTCTCTGCTTCTCTTTGTCTTCCAAATAAATAAATACATCTTAAAAAAAAAGATTATGTGTTGGAAGATGATCACATCATAGTTTTTCTTTTTGGTTTTTTTTGTTTTTGTTTTTTGAAAGAGTTACAGAGAGAGGTAGAGACAGAGAGAGAGGTCTACCATCTGCTGGTTCACTCTCCAGATGGCTGCAACGGCCGGAGCTGTGCCAATCAGGAGCCAGAAGCTTCTTCTAGGTCTCCCACAAGGGTGCAGGGGCCCAAGGTCTTGGGCCATCTTCTGCTGTTTTCCCAGGCTTCAACAGAGAACTGGATTGGAAGAGGAGCAGCTGGGACTAGAACCGGCACCCATATGGGATGCTGGCGCTTCAGGCCAGGGCTTTAACCTGCTATGTCACAGCGCCAGCCTCCACATTATAGTATTTTAAAGCAGTAAACAAAGTTTTTGCTTTATTTCTTCTCAATATCATGGTTTCTGTTGGCAGCCTTAGATAAAATACGTATTATGCCCATATTGTGTTTATCATCAAAATTATTTCCTGTTTTTTTTTTACTCTAACCTTTTTCTTTTCTGTTTCTGTTAATGCAGGATGTTGCAGATATCAGAAAACAATTTCCTTTATTGGAAGCAGATATTAAGTTTCCAAATTTCTTTAAAAAGGAGCAGTTCTTTTCCAGTGTTTTTCGAATTAGCTCATCAGGATTACAACTTTGGACTCACTATGACGTATGTTACACAAATGAAAAGTCTAAAGCTACGGTAGATTTTTAGCACTTATAGATTTAAAAATCATGGTTTCTGTTGGCTACCCTAAATAGATCTTTGCTGTGTAATTTGCTGAAGCATGAGTTTTAAAAATAGGTGTTCTGTAAGGCAGTGATCAAAGATGAATTATTTAGCAAAGCCTGGTTAGTTTCTCACATTTCTATTTCTGTGGTTTTATTTTTGATTCATTGCACACACACACACACGCACACATACACACACACATCAAGTTTTATGAAGTTTTTTTTTTTCCTTTTGCATGTGAGAAACAGATAATGGGGGAAATTTTTTAATTGGAGAAAGTGGTATGCTTGTGGGATGAGGACACATAAATGCTACACATGACTCTAGCCACCCAGAGTTTTGTTCTTTATGAGAAAGAAGCTTATAGAGTCATTTCCAATTGTAAGCAATTGAGGATATCAGAAGCTCTTAATATATCCATCCCTTGAGAACATCAAATGTCTGCTGTATTTATAGGGCAGTAAGATGTGTGGAATATTCATCTTGATTTATTTTATGGCATTATAATTGTTTTTGCTTAAGTATGTGAGTAGATACATAAGTATTTTTAAAATGTTTTAAAAAACTAGTATGTGATTTGGTGTTGGGAGATGGAGAAACATAGGAAGTTAAAGCAATACCTAATAGATTTCCAAAGATAATAGTATTTTTTAAAAACTTCTGAGTAAAATTATTATACTTTATACACATACTTTATAATTCAGTTGAAGACCCACTGAAGAGGAATTTTACATAGGAAATCTAATTAAATGAGATGGACTTGAAATCCTAGCATATTCTCTTTTTTAAGGATCTACATGAATGAAAATGGTGAGATACTGATATGATAATTTAAAATACATTTTTCACTAAATTCTGTGACTTTTAAATTTTCCTTGTTACAATTGAATATATAAAGCTGTTCTTAAAAAGTAAGTTAAAGAAATGCTAGTTTAATTCCATAGTTACAGTTTATACATATAAAGGAGAAATGCTTAGGTAGAAGTGATATGTAAATCATCATGAATGTGTCTTGCTTGGTGTATATCTCAATTTCTTCACTGAGAATCATGTGGCTCTACCATTTAACATTTTTCACAAACTGTACAAAGAAAGTGTATACTTGCATACATGGAAGAAGTTAAGATTGCTCCATTAATAGATATGTTAAGGAGCACGCATTGTGGGAGAGCAGGGTAAGCTGCCACTTGGTATGCCTGCATCTCCTATTGCAGTGTCAGTTTGAGTCCCAGCTACTCTGCTTATGATCCAGCTTTCTGCTGATGCCTCCTTCCTGGGAGGCAGCAGATAATGGCTTAAGTACTTGGTTCCCTACCACCCACGTGGAAGACCTGGATGAAATTCCAAGCTCCTGCCCTCAGCCTGGCCCAGCCCTGGCTGTTGTGGGATTTTTGGAGGGTGTACCAATGGATTGTAGACATTTCTGTCTTCTCTCTCAATTTCGCTATGCCTTTCAAATAAAGTCTTAAAAAGGTAAATATTTAAAAATTATATTAAGAAAAATGTCCAAGTTATATTCCTGTACAAATTATTTGAAAACCAAGTTACCTATAACCAAATTATTATTGGACGTATATTAAGCACTTTGTATTTTCCTTACACCTGATGTTTCTAAGCGCTTTGACTTTTTGTCGAACGACGGCTTTCTGTAATATTCGTTGACAGATAAACAAAATCAATATTTACCATTGGGGAGCCTCAAGGTTTAACTATCCTGTCAGTGGTGGGGAATAGGTAAATAGTTCCCTAATTTCATATTTCCTATTTTCCATATTTCATTTTTTCCACTTTATGCCAGTACTGCAGAAATATCTCCAATAGATGCACAGTTATATGTGGGATACAAATATTTTCATTATTAGATTTGGGTGATTATGATAGTTTTAAGTAATATTAAGTCCCATTAAAGGATAGGGTTTACAGTTAACTGTTTAGAATGCCATTGGTTCTGTTTATTTGAATTTTAGATACTGCTTACCCATAAATGTACTATCTGGTTTTCAGGTAATGGATAACTTCTTAATACAAGTGACAGGAAAAAAGCGTGTGGTACTGTTCAGCCCTCGAGATGCACAGTATTTGTATTTATCAGGTATGGGTTTTTTTTTAGGTCTATATTTCTAGAGTCAATCTTTTTGAGCAACCTCTATTCTCATAAAAAAAAAAACCTTTTAGGACTTCTTCCTAATTATGATGTATTGTATTTTCTATTATGTGTGTGTATACATGTAATGATATGCTATATGAAGAATAAGATTTTCAGATCCCCTTAATTATATAACATGGGTGTCAATGGTCATAATTAAAGAGTGGGTCATTGAAAATTGTCTTAGATTTCAAGAGAATGGTAATTATTCTCACAGTGTGGGTACAGGAATTCTATTGTACTAAAAAGAATAAATTTTCAAATTTATATTTGTAATTTAAAAAAAAATTCTAACAGCCCAGTCTATATAATCCCTTTTTGGAACTTTGCAGGTACTAAATCGGAAGTGCTGAATATAGATAATCCAGACTTGGCTAAATATCCACTCTTTTCCAAGGCCAGAAGGTATGAATGTTCCCTTAAAGCTGGTGATGTATTATTCATTCCTGGTAAGCTTTTTAGACTTCAGTAATGTGCTGTTTATAAAATTTATATTTTTTCATTCATTCTTTCTGTGATTTTTTAAGTACAAAAGTATATTTGTTATATGTATTCTGTCTTATATGATATTTTTATATATGTGTGTTCATGCATCTTTAAAGTATGCTTAGACAAACTCATAAATTTAACAGTCCTATTTTTAAAGGGCAACTTACAATAAATATAATATTGTACTGTAGATTATTTTAATAAATTATGTCATTAGACATTTTATATCTGGAAAAAGATTATTCCTGATTGTTTTTGCTAAAACATTTTTATTGTCACTTAAGTATTTACCAAGAAATGGTATGTTTCAAAGCCAAAATAGATTACAGAGTTTTTTTAAATATCAAAAATATAATACTCTCAATACCTATGATGTCTTTTCTGTACATTATCTTTCTATATACAGTCTTAGTTTCACTGACTTTGTTTGAAAGTTCATTAAATTTCCATATTGTTAGTATGCACTGCAGTGTGTAATTAAATTTGTTCAAATGTTTAAAAGTGAACACTTGAAAATTATAAAAGTCACAATTAAAATGAAAGTGGCACATTAAGAAATTTCATTTTTATAGTTGTATTTCTCATATCTAAATTAATATATTGATTTTCAATCAGTAATGCCTCTCTTCGGTGACAGAATTAAGAAAAATATTAATGAGTTTTAAAATATGATTATCACATTTGGAGCTAGATTAGAAATTCCTTGAAGACAAGGAATGTCTGTTGATCTTTGTATTCGTGAAAAGGCCTGATACAATGACTTTCATATAACTGGTCATCTGTAAGAATTAGATGCATTGACTTGTTATTCTTGCATTCATTAAAAACAGCCAGCACATTAATCTTTTTTTTTTTTTTTTTTTTTTTTTGGACAGGCAGAGTTAGACAGTGAGAGAGAGAAAGGTCTTCCTTCCATTGGTTCACCCCCCAGTGGCTGCCAAAGCCAGGAGCACATTAATCTTCAAATCCATTGCCATTTTAAAATTTCTATTTAACTTTAAAAATATTTTTATCTTTGGACCTTAGAGAACATGGTTAAAGGCTGAGTAGTTGTCCCTTTTTCTATATACAACTTTTTGAAAAGAAAATTAGAAATTCTTAACATATGCATTTTGAAACAAAAGCAAAAGCTCCATCTTTGGCATTGAATAAAATATTCTGAAAGTAAATCATATTTGAAAACTAGATCTGCAAATCAAAATATTTTTAAGCTTGTTTTTCCTTAAGCCCTCTTAAAATGTGTTTGTTTCTAAAATTTCAATTTCCTTTTTTCCAGTATTAAACATTTTTTATGTGATTAGTATTCCATCTTTGTCGTTTAATGGTATTGCTTTACTATTCCTATAGCACCTATATTTTAATACTGTCTAGACTCAACTGAAAACAAAGAAGTGGACTTCTAGAGAAAGTAAAAAAAATCAGTTCGGTATACCATGTGATAAAATTTACTCATCATCTCTACCACCATAATACATGCTTCCTTTCATATATTTACTATGAGGAGCTGCAAGAAATGTAATTGCATTAGAAATATGAACCTGAGGAAGCCACAATGAATGCAAACTTAAGCAAGTTAGAAAACTAAATTGCAGCTTGAACAGGAAGTCTTTAAGAACAAAAGTTCTGTACTGAATCAGAAAAGGTCAGAGTTATTCCTCAAATAATTGAAATGTTCTGTGTACAAAAAAAAAAACAAGAAACAAAAAACAAAATACCACTTTTGATGTGGTTATATGACTCAGGAAGTGTAAACAAGTAACACGAAACACAGTCCCAAATTAGACAGCTAAAAAACAAATATAATTTTATTATGTCTTTCAAGTTAAAAGGAAAAATTGCTATTTCTAAAGGTTTTAAAAGTAAGGGTTGTGCTATTGACACTTTAAATTTGTTGGCAATTCATAAAAGTTAAAATGATTCTGTTAAAAGCTGGGAGTGTGCTAACGAAGGGATCTGGTTACAAGAATTATTTCTTACATTGGCTATATGCAATTCGTGATATTTCACTGACATTTTGGGCTTTTTTTTAAACTGTAGGTTTTATTTTTAACTTGTTTTTTAAAACTTTATCCAGCTTTATGGTTCCATAATATAATTTCTGAAGAGTTTGGAGTGGGAGTGAATGTCTTTTGGAAGCACCTTCCATCTGAATGCTATGATAAAACAGATACCTATGGAAACAAAGATCCTACAGCAGCATCAAGAGCTGCACAAATTTTGGACAGAGCCTTAAAAACACTGGCTGAATTACCAGAGGAATACAAGGATTTCTATGCACGGCGAATGGTCCTACATATTCAAGACAAAGCCTACAGCAAGAACTTTGAGTAAAGAATGAAATGAATAGAAGGAATATAAACATTTTCATAAATTTAGCACAAATATTGGGAAACTATAATATATATTTTAAATTTTAGAGATTTATGCTTTGTTAAAATAGGGAAGATAAATCAATCTCACATTTCCAGATTAAATAAGTTAAAGGGATGTTTGCATGGTCTCTACTTGATACAGATGGTTATAAAAAATTCTGTTTTGGGACTTTTCTATAGTTCTCTGGTGCAAATAATGAAAAATTCAATTGTAGAAGTACTTAATACAAAAATGTATGTTTCACTTCATAATACATGAAGTCTACTGATAGTATAGGCTGCAGTGTTTCCAATCCAGTGATTCAGTAATGTCATCAAAAAACCTCAGGATTCACCCCCCGCCCCCATCTCCCCCTCACTCCCCTTTCAACTACAACATTGGCACCAACCTAAGGCTGGCTACCCTCGTGGTCATGGGATGATTGCCAGCCGCAGTTGGGGCTTTGTGCATCTTCATTTATATGCAATGGAAGAGGCAGGCTAGATGCCAAGGGCCCTGTGTTAATATGAGAAAGCTTTCCCAGAATTCACTACCAAATCTTGGGTCACACTGCTCTAAAGTGACTCAGATTTGTCCATCACTGAGCCAGTTAGGTCTGTGGAGCTGGGAGTAGAATCCTATTCCTTTGAGGCACATGAATTGTGCAGCATACGGCTGGAGAATGGATAATTTGTTTAAATAAATGTACTGACAGGAAAAAAGGTATGCAAGCTGCAGTATATACCACATTTGCCTAGAATCAGAATCTTTTGAGGAACTTTGTTAAAAGATGCAGATGCCTAGTCTAGCCTTGTAGAGTTTGATTCAGTATGTTAGATTTGGTTTAAGTACCTAATGCACCTCACAGGGTTCTGGTGCATAATCAGCACTGAGAATCATTGGATTTGATGACAGTGATTTGGATTACTTTGTGATTTATTCTAAACATTTAATCTGATCCTGGTTTTTCTGCCACCCATTATGTCAGATGTGTCCCATTTTTTCATTTTCCAATCATAGAAAACAAATTAATACCTATATTTACACCTTAACCTAACTAAAAGCTTTTCCCCACTAAATTTTTTATATATCCCCTTTTAAAGAAAAAAATATTTTTAATTTTAAGGATGAATAAATGAGTGATCCTATAATGTTGTCATTTAAGAAATGACACTGAGAAAGATTTAAAAATATAAAAACCAAAGACATTGAGTCATTGAGAAAAAAACAAATATATTTACTAAAGACAAATGTACCCAAGTAGAGCAATTTCTGACATCAATTTGGTAGATTAATTAGAGATAATAATTTTCTCTAATGAAGATAATCTTATCCTCATGTACTATGGAGCTAGATTAATTTTAGGCATAAAAAACTGTAGTAAACTACAAAGGAAAAATAAATAAAAATTCTAAATTTCCTAAGCATCTTTGGGAAGATATGTTGAAGTTACTGAGGACAACAGAGGGGAAAAAAGTCTTGCAGTAAAGAAATTGTTTTAATATATTAGCCAGAGCTAATGATCAGATTTTGATCTTTGGTAACTTTTAGCCCAAGCAAAATATTTTATTTAGTGTTGCTTTTTCCATTACGAAATGAAAAAGACAAAACCACTTTCAGGTTGCACAGTATGTATATATATATGTGTGTGTGTATTTACATATATATATATATATAAAAATATGTATTTAACTTTTAATGAGCTTTGTTTTTCTCTTAACCAGTAAGAGAATCAGGGTAAAGTTCAAATCCAGAGTCACATAAGAACAAGTATACTTGGAAGTGAAATGGATTGCAATTTGCCCATTTTATTTTCACTTAATTTAATAAGGAAGCAAACTGGGTGACCTTAAGCAAACTAAATAACCTGTTTAATAAACTGTTTTACTAATTTTTAAAATAGTTGATCTATACTGTACTTCCTAGGGTTGCTATAAAAAATGCAGCTAATTCAAGGGTAGGTAACACAGTTGATGACTGCTAGTTACTCCATTTCTAGTCCCTTCTTACTGAAAGATTTGAAGTAACTCCTGCTGCACTATTAAATTACTACATTTAGGAATAGGTGTTTGGTTGCTGGTTGAGACACTGGTGCCTGACATCAGAGTACCTAAGTTCAACAGCCTGCTCCAGCTCATGATTCCAGCTTCTTGCTAATGCAGACTGTGGAAGGTAGCAAGGATGGCTCAAGTAATTGGGTTCTTGCCACCAGTGTGGAAGACCTAGATTGAGTTCCCAGCTTCTAACTTTCCCAGCCTAGTCTCTCCATTATGGGTATTTAGAATGACCCAGCAGTTAGAGGGCTTGCTCTGTCACTTTGCCTTTCAAATAAACAAAAATGTAAAATTAAATTACATTATTTAGAAAGCTGGAACTGGGAGGTTTTAAAGTTACTTTCCTGGTCATAATTGTAATGTTAGGGTCTGTTTATTTTAAATACATACTATTAATCTTTTTTGTCTGCTGAGTGAAGACCAAATGATATGTTTGCTTGTACTGTGTAAAATAACAGATTGTTAGTTGCAGCTTCTCAATTTTATTGTTGAAAAGATTTTGGAAACCACTTCATCAACCCAGATTGAATAGGTTGGTGTCCAGGCTTGCACAACTGTGAGTGACAGAAATGGGGATTACAGTTGAAGTTATTAGATCAGAAATTCTTCAATTTTTTTTTTCCTTTATGTGCAGCACATCTCACAGATGCTTCTGAATACATAGCTCTTCTGTGGCTTAATAGTCTGGGGGCTTGACCCAACACAGAAAAGGAATTATTTCCTTCTTCCAGCAAATCACCTCACTACACTGCTTGCTATACAGACAAGGCTTCAAAGTAAAATTAATGAATACAAGTGGACATCAGTGTAATACAAAAATGGAATGTCACCCACAAAGAATGAGGCAGAGGAATATGTACTAGCATAGGATTTTCCCAATGTTATTACATGAAAAATAGGCTTGAAATTGGGCTGCCATTTGTTTAACAGGATGTGCTGTGTGTAAACATTTATATGCATATGCACAGAATTATATCTACAACAATACACGAGAAACCACTCATAGTGGTTGCCTCTAAAAGACTGAATAGCTAGGTGGGACAACTGGAATTTGCTATTTTTTTTTTATTGGAAGTTTCTTTCACATTAGTTGTTCAAAGTAATTTTCAAAATACTACGTATGGAGGGGGCCGGTGCCGTGGCTCACTTGGTTAATCTCCACCTGCGGCGCCGGCATCCTATATGGGCGCTGAGTTCTAGTCCTAGTTGCTCCTCTTCCAGTCCAGCTCTCTGCTGTGGCCTGGGAGTGCAGTGGAAGATGGCCCAAGTGCTTGGGCCCCTGCATTCGCATGGGAGACCAGGAGGAAGCACCTGGCTCCTGGCTTCAGATTGACATAGCTCTGGGTGTAGCAGCCATTTGGGGGGTGCATCAACTGAAAACCTTTCTCTCTCTCTCTCTCTCTCTGTAACTCTACCTGTCAAATAAATGGAAAAAAAAACAACAGAAAAACCACGTGTGGAGAGTAATTATTAGCATTTCAAATTAGCAGTATTTATCTTGGTACATGAATACACTAGAATTATTTTTATTCAGGAGTCAATTTTAAACTTCTCAATTTCATGAAATATCAAAACAAGCAAAACAAAATGAATAAGGCTTGTATCCTTCATCCATTTGAACAACAGCTATATGAACATTTGGGAAGAACTTTAGTTAATAAGCCTTGCTCTCACCTATAAAAAGTTGCTAACAGACACTGAGGCTGAATTTAAAGAGTTGACCAAAAAAATACACAGGAAACTGGATGGCAGGTCTGATGGAATTGGAGCTGTGCTGTATGACTCCTTTCCCCACTGCTAAAAAGCAGAAGGAACTAACGTAGATTGGCAGTCACTTACACAGCTCCTGTGTTACCTTTCTCTTGTTTTGAGCACATAAGCTTAGGTGTCTTAAATATACCTAAGTTATATCCCGTTGTTTTTTTTTTTTTTTTTAACAAAAACCAGGTTCACTAAATGGGATACTAAAAAGACCATTTTAAGTCATTGCCTGCCTCTTCAACCAAGAGCTTGCTAGGCCTCTGCCTTTTTAGAGAAACTCGAGTTTACAGATGAGGTCAGTCAACATCACATCCTCTGTTGCATATCTTAAAGGAGCTTAAATTTATGAATACCTCTTTTTGCTTCATATTTTACTTGAACCTTTAATCCATTACATATTTCATATTAATTAACATGCTGGGACTTTGTGCTGTACTGTCATGGTCTAAACCATGACAGGTACTGAGAGGTACTGAGATGCTACATGAATGAAGTAAAGAATAGATCACAGGACATTCTCCTTAAGAGCTAAAGAAATGCAGATACCTGAGTTCTCTAAGAAATTCAGCAGAATAAAAAGGATATAATGCAAATTCTATGGAGCAATTTAAAAGAGAAAAGAAATGAATTCATTTGGGAAAAAAAAACATGTAAAGTAACAAAAACATATGGACACCCAAACTGACAACATGGACACAAATCGCTTCCTTTCAAATAATGAGCTGAACTTTTTAACACTGCTAATAATATAAAACACATCCAAACAAATGTGGATTATTACTTTTAATACAATTATACATTCATGCTTTGGGGGTAACAACTTTCACAGCATTTGTAAGACTACTTTTCTCAACTGACTCACAACAAAGGCACAATTCAAAAGGATACACTAACAATTACAGTAACAATTTTAAACAAAGGTGGAGAAAGGACCAGTTTGAAATGTTAAGACTGAAAACATCTGAGTATTGATCAACTTGATATATATATATTTTTTATTTTTTTTTCCAGAAAATAATTTTACTTTCCCTTGTTTTCTTATTTTGAGATGATGGAAGTTCTGTATTCTCAGTGAGTTATTCTTAATATCCATTCAACATACAAAAATTGTAATTAAGCATTCACAGGACTGGATAGCTGAAGCACCCAGATTTTTAAATACCTGAAAATTTTTAAATGAATGTCCTCTGAAAGTCCTGCCTTTTCATTTGTTAATCCTATGAAAATAAATGTCCTTCCTTCCCCACTCCATAGAACAGTCAGTAACTCAGCTATTTTACATTAGAAAAAAGAACTTAACCTAGGATTATTAAATTGAAAAAAAGCCATCCAATCATAGTGCTTTGAAGGTACAATATGCTAAAATCAGGCTGACTTGATAGAAATATTTGGTCTCAAAAGAAACAGCAGGTATTTAAAGAAACTGAAGTAATACAAAACTATTTTATCTTAAAAAATACACTTCTGTAGTGTATAAAATTATTAAAACACCAAAAAGATTTTTAAGCATTTGGTAAGAATCTTATGAATCTCTGAATACTTGGAATGTATGTATAGAGTCATTAAGTGTAATTCTGAGAAGAAACCAAGAAGTTAACATTTTTGTTTTATGTTGTTTTGTAAATATAGGTCCTCTGGATTAAAAGTAAGCCTCAGTGTATTTTTTCTCAGTCCTAAAGCAGCATGTTACTTCCCTGCTTAGTTACCTCATGACTTGCAAAAGCTAATTATTAATAAACAACAAAAAAGTGACTGGTCACCTTTTATTGTAAACATACTACTGTTTCAAAGTAGGCTGAAATTCATTAGATCTTGGTTTCTCAAAATGTATTTATCTAGGTCAAGAAAAACGGGCAGAAGGAAACTTCCCCCAAATTATGTAGCAGTGTTAAGCAAATTCAGTTTTTGAGCCAAAACTAAATCATTTGTGTCTTCAAACTTTCCCTTATAACTTTTCTTATAGCAATATAATTTTGCATTTTGGCCAAAGAGAGCTATTTTCTTTTGGCAGACAAAATCATGCTTCTAGAGGAACATTGATTTAGGTCTGTGGAATCTGTCTCCTTTTCAATGGAGCACTAACAAATACAGCATTATATATTTACTTTACCAAAGTTGATCTCTTTCAAAAGATTGATATAATGAAAAATCTGAAATCTGCTCTGTAGTATATTTTTATCCAATATACATAATTATGCTCAATTTAAACCAGTTTTTCCAAAACAACTGGTTTTTGGCCAAGATTCAAGAAACCCCAAACTGTCTTATCCAAAATAATAAATTAAAAATTGTCAATTAAAAATTAAGCCATGGGGTCAGCAGCTGGCCTAGAGGTTAAGTCACTGATTGAGATATCTGTATCCCACATTGGAGTACCTGGGTTCAGTGCCTGGCTCCAGCTCCCACTTCTTCTTTCTACCAATTTAAACGCTGAGAGGCAGTGGTGGTGGCCCAAAAAATTGGGTTCTTGCCACCCACATGGGACACCCAGACCGAGTTCTGGGCTCGCAGCATCAGCCTGGTCTGGTTGCAGCAGCCCCACGCTTTTGGGTAGTGAGCCAGTGATAGGAGCTCTTTCCCTGTCTCTCAAATAAATATTTAAAAAGAAAAATTAAGCCACAGTACTGAGGTGTAATATTAAAAAAAAAAAACCTTTACACTATTGCACATTCTTAGATATTTGTAATCAAATATATTTTGACTCTCAAGAAGAAAAAAACACAAAACACTTGGTGACACATTAAGACTGTGTCTTGAGTTAGGTAACGCAAGAGGCAGAATAGTTAATTCCAAAATGATGGGAAACTGTGCTTTGCTTTGTTTGAAGAGAAAGGAAATATTCTTAAGTTTCTGAGCTAATACTGTTTTAATGTCATCAAAATTAGCTGAAAGCGTTACTCAGAAAATCAACTAATTCCAACACAATGTTAGTTATCTTTTCAAGGGACTATTTAATAACTTTGTTTTATATTTCCTCAAAGGATTATCACAAACCACTTTTTTAGATTTCAAATTAACTAATTCTAACCCAATCCAAATTTAAAACTGCTCACATTCACAAGCAAAGAATACTATTGCACATAACACTCATATTTTAGGAATGTGTGCTTACCCCATCCCCAAAATGACAATGTACCTATTATCATTATCTGATTCAATGCATCTATATATTATATCTCATCTGAATCAATGCACTTATGAATTATATCTCATTATCTGAATTTTTAACACTGAAAGTGCTTATGTTCTTCCACTAAGTTGAGTACATGAGTGTACTCGAAGTCTCAAAATACTTCATGAACCCTAAAGTGATTTTCTATGGAAGGAGTTTCCTTTGCAAAATGAATTTGGCTAGTCACCTGCATACCAAAATCCTCAAGTATCTGAACAAATTTCTTGTGCTCTTTTCCAATCCAGGATCTCATGGGATCACGTACTTGGTAAGGTGTTACATGGGTGTGAACAATAATCCCTGTTTGTGCAAATTCTTTCAAGACTTCTGGATAAGTAACCCAAGTATTGCTTCCTCCAGAGTGACCACCATCCAACCAGTACATCATTCTTATGCTTCTGATGAAAGTATCTATATTCTTGTCTTTCTTGGCTTCTTTCAATTCAAAAAGCAACTGATTCAGAACAACACAACCTTTACTGAATCCAATCAAAGTAAAAGATGCACCATTTAGTGAAGGTGGATGAAAACTCATGGCAGACTCATCAAATTTTTCACAGGTCCTCTCTGTTTCTCCCTGGCAGCCATTAGTAGTAGTAGAACTGGATCTACAGTTAGATGTTTTGGAGTCCTTCTTCCAAACATTCACATTCTTCGATAATAAACTGTTATGACTTAAGTTAAAAGCATTAACTAATAAAGAATAGAGGTGTTTAAAAGCTCCAAAGTCAGTATTGTGTTCTGGAGCACCAAACATGTTGCTTTTCACAAAATTGTCATAGCAGCTGAATTTGTGCAAATGCATTCGGGAACATTTTATTACCCAAATGTAACTATTGGGGAATCGGTGGGCTAAAATGGTGGCAACATTTTCTAGACTCCAGTTTTCCCACTGGTAGTTCTCAGGATGATGAGTCATAATTTCATGATAATTCTGAAAGGCAAGAAAAATGAAACAGGCATTAAGTACACATTTACATAAAACTATTTCCACAAAATACCTTCACAATTTTATTGTAGGGAAACTTAGGGTGCTACTATGACCTATGGTTAAAGCACTAGAAATAAAAACTATAAATCTGTCATTATTTTATCAGATTTTAAAGAAATCACTTCTTTAGTTTAAGCCTCAAATCCAGCAACAGACAGGGTAAGACATCCACACAGAATAGTAAGAATTTTAAAAATAAAACAATCTGCAAAGATTATATATAGTCTTTTAAAAATGCTGTTTAGTATAAATATGATCAACTTTCCTATCAAGTGAAAATATAAATTTGGTTCATCAGACTTGTTGCCAAACAGAATTTTAAAATATTTCCCTTTTATTAAGCTGCCGTCCTGCTCTACTCCCTTTTAGATTCCTTCAGCAACCTGAACACTTTGATTTCAGTTTTAGTATTACAAACAAAAGCTACAATGAACAATATAGAAAAATCTTTGTATGCAATTGTGATTACATCTTTAAATGTAAACTCCTAGAAGTAGAATAACTAGGCCAAAGACTATTCATTATTTAATGGTAATGATATTTAATATAATACTGCCTTCAACAGAGCTATGTCTAAATTCTGTTAAATTTCATAGACAATAGGATAACATTGAAATATGGACTTACTGAAAATTAGAATAAAGTTGAAATTGTGTTCATTTATTAGCCATCTGGATTTCCACTCTCATCCAACTATATCCTTTGCCTTTTTGTATTTGGATCTTATTTATGGTAAAGAATTATATATATATATATACACACACACACATACACATACATATATGTAAACTTTTTGTTTCGGTTCTAGGGCATACAAATTTTGTTGTTTTCATTTTTATCCATACTGCATTTTTTTAAAGGAACAATTCATTCAAATTTATGCTATCAAATTTACTGGATACTTCCTGATTGAGCAGGGAACAGGACAAATTAAATCTCTGCCCACATGAAGCTTACAATCTAGTGCAGAGATAAACAATAACTCTAGAAGTAAACACAGCAGCATTGTCCAACAGAAATATGAATCATACATAGAAGTTGTTAGGAGCTGCATTTAAGAAGTAAAATTTGAACAACTGAAACTATTTTAATAATATATTGAGCCCAATTGCCATTTTAATGGCTAATCAGTATAAAAAGTTACTGGGAGATTATTACATTCCTTTTTTCTTACTAAGTCTTTGAAATCCAGTGAGTGTTTTACACTTACAGCACAGCTCAATTTGGATGCTAAATCTTCATCGGAAATACTTGATCTGAATTTAGATTTCGTAAAATTTGCAGTTGAAAAAGCAGATTCGCATACCCAAGTTGTTCCAAATATACTAAGTTTTCCAGGAACTGAATTGAGTATCATTTTTAAAATTTAAATTGACTGAAATTAAATAGAATTAAAAATTGAGTTCCTCAGTTACGCTCACAACATTGCAAGTAGCCAATAGCACAAGTAGCTATTTTACTGGACAGTATAAAACATGAGATGGTTTTCAGTGCAAGCAGGGGAAGGGAGTGTAAGGTTTTGGAGAGGATGGGGAATTAGTATTTTAACATATAATGGTCAGGAAAGCCTTCTCCAATAAGGTGATAGTGAATACTGATGAAGGAATCAAGGAGTGAATCACGAATATGGAGGCAGAAGAAACTGCAACTGTAAAAGGCTCTCAGGTAGAAGCACACTAGACACCACCACAATGTAACAATGAGGCCAGTGAGGCTCTGGTGAAGTGAGCAGAAGCAAAGTGACCACCACCAGGGCAAAGAGATCACTGAGGACAGGAAGGCGCTATTAACTCTATAAGACACTATGAGGACTGCAGCTTTTGTCCTGAAAAGGGATGGAGCAGAGGGCTGACAAGATCTGTTCTGAGAGGATTACTCTGGCTCCTTGTAGGAAAGAGCAACAACAAAGGAGAGGACTGGTAAAAGGGAAGTGAAATACAATCCTGGTGATAGAAGAAGGTAGCTTAAACCAGGGTGGCAGTAAAGTGAGGTGCTAAGAAGCGGTCACATTCTGAACGTATGATGGAAGTAGATTAGCTGATGGATTGGATGCAGACTGTGAAAAAAAAGAAAAATGAATTTTCCTTGTTTCAAACAATTTACAGTATGTATCAGCTTTGCATGTATCTCTCTTTGACCTAGCAATTCCACTTCTAGGAATTTTATCTGATAGAGCTGCATATATGCATAGATAAATATGTATAAGGATATTTATTTTTGCTTCAGAAGAATGAGGCAGCTCTACAGGGATTCATATGTGTTGTAAAATAAGAACTAAAAAACTCTGTATGCTATGGTACCATATATGTATTTTTAAAAAATTGCATAAGCATAGAATGTCTAGAAATATACACACATACATATTAGTGACAATGGTAGCCTCAGGCAAGGGAAATGGGAGGGAACCTGGAGAGTATGGGGTAGATGAAAACTTACTTTTCAAAAATAGAAAAATTATCCACAAAACCACCAATTAGGAATCATCATTAGAGTGTTGGTGTCTAGCAGTACAGTTTTCTTTACATAAATATATATATATATGTAAGTATTATATAAAGAACACTGTCCAAGAGGCAACAATAAGTTTATATGTACTTTTCACTTAATGTTACAGGCATGATTCCATAGTAGTATAGATTTGCATTCATTTCAGATATCAGTAAGATTAATACCAATTTAATTCCTACAAGTATACAAGAGTGCTTATTTTTCCTCATCCTTACAAATCCTTAATGTTAATGACCATTTGCACTTTTAAAAATCTTTGCTCCTATGATAAAATGATGTCTTACTTTTAATTTACATGCTGTTTCCTAATTAGCTTGAGCATTTTTTGTTTACTGGTGATTTGCATCTTTCTTTTAATTCTCTGTTCATGTTCTTTGATAATTTCCCCACTATGAAGCCCAATTCCTTACAGGTGTATTTCATTGGCATTAGAGGCTTGTCAGATTTTTTTTGTTAAATGACTATACCCAGAAGGTCCTCATTTGACTTTATGTGGAGCTGTTGCCTCTGCACATCCAGAATTTACACAAAATTATCCTAAAATCAGAGGCTTAACTCTTGAAGGGCTCATCTAAATCTTTTTTATACTTAAGAAACCTAATGTCTTTCTTTATATTAGTTATTTAGTTAATGAGCCAAAATGAACCCAGATTTTATGACTCTTAGTTTAGTTTCTACCACAATAGAAGATGCTCTAAACTCTAAGAATTTGGTGTTACCCTTAATTAGCCCATTAAATGATGGGGGGAGGAAGTGCTTATAACCAAAAAACTGTATTCTAAATGTAAAAATGAAATTGTTACTGTTGTGTCAAAGCCCAGATCTGAGTACTTCCATATTCTAAAAAGAGGCACCAAAGAGTCTTACAGGATTAGCCAAAACTTGTTCTGCACTATTATCCATGGCCAATCTACAGAAAAAACTTGACCCACACTATGATCCATGGCCAATCTACAGAAAAAGTGCAAGACTGCCAGAGAAGACTAAAGCTGTAACACACATAC